TCCCTGCTGCCTTTTCAACCCCTCACTTTTGTCTCTGCGCTCAGCGGCAGCTACAGGTTGCGCACTGTTCCCATTGGCGCACAGTCTATGCTGAACTCCAGTCTCCTGTAGTACTCTAGTGGAGGCTTTCCTTTGTCCAGTGGATGTTTGGGAGCTGCTTTCTGACCCCTCCCTCTCTCCTCTTTCTCAGTGTAATCCTGGCTCTTGGCTCATGCTCTGCGCTCCATTCAAACGTATGAAAGAGCGTTTTATTAAGACCCTGTATTTTTCCTTTTCTTTCATGGAAACGCAGGATTGTGGAGCGCTGTGAGGCTTGAGTGTGCCCGTCGCTAACTCTCTCCATGTGTCTTCAGCCAGCCGTGCAAAATCAGCACAAAATTCACTTCATTATGGATTTGCATGGGACAGGCAATGGGAGCTTGTAAAGAATCAGATGGTATTGTTTTAAGAATTTTAAGCATTTCACACGTTTCAGGGCTATATTCAGGCAGCTCAAGTGAATTGTGCATGCGTTACTAGAAGATTATCTTATCAATGAAGAGATTGTGTATTTAGTTTGATACTGTCTACGTCCTGTTCTTCTCCCATGGTTAGAAAAGCCATGAGAGCTTTTCTAGCCACTACTTAAACACTACTTTTATCACTGATTAGTTGGGCAATTATTTATTTATTGGATTTATCAATGAATATGAATATGCCATGAATGTGGAACTATATCGTTTTTTTTTGTATTTGATTAAAACAAAGCTAAAGTGATGCCACACAAACATCTCACACATTTTACTAATTCCATCTCAGTAATAAAAATCACTTCAGTGTTCAATGCAGTGTATGTTTCAAAAGGCAATTATTCAGTCACTAAATTAGTAAACTGCTTCAATATTCAGTGATTAATCGATTAGCATAACATGTTGAAAAAGGCATATGAAGAGGTCCTTCTTCAAGTGGAGGAGTTCAAGTCCATCGGGATCTTGTTCACGAGTGAGGGAAGGAAAGAGCGTGAGACTGACAGGCGGATCGGTGCAGCGCTCGCAGTGATGCGGTCGCCATATCGGACCGATGTGGTGAAGAGGGAGTGGAAAGGAAAAGCTCTTGATTTAACGGTCAATCTACATTCCCACCCTCACTATATGGTCATGAGCTTTGTGCAATGACCAAAAGGACGAGATTGCAAATACAAGCGGTCGAAATGAGCTGGGCGCTCCCTTAGACATAGTGAGGAGCTCCATCACACGAGATAAGCTCGAAGTAGAGCCGCTGCTTCTCTACATTGAGAGGAGCCAGGGCATCTGTCTCTGGACGCCACCTTGGGAAGTTGTTTCAGCATTCGGAGGAGGCCCATGGGGAAAGACTCAGGACACACTGGAGGGACTATCTCTCAGCTGGAGAAAAAGTGTGTGGCGAGGGGATTCTGGCCGTCTCTGCTTAGACCGCTGCCCCTGCGACCTGGCACTGGACTAAGTAGAAGAAAATGGATGGTCGGAGGTTAAGAAAGCAGAGATTTGTTTAAATCAAATGAATACAAATAATTTTAGGATATAAACTGTCTGTTCCAGGACCACAAGTCTACAATAATTGATCACTGTGTACTGAGGTATATAATCCTTCAATATTGAGCTAATTTATGTCACTGGATTTAAAAGCAGGATGCTAATGAGAGTTCAAAAAAATAGACAATAGTCGGTCATCAGAGTGCCATCATAATAGATGTTTTAACAGTTGTGAACTTCTCATAATTATTCTTTCTCAAATCTCTGCTCAGTTAAGTAGCATAACTAAAAGATGCACTTTATTTTTTATAACCAAAGTTCTAGCCCCGGTGTCAAACAATAGACTAGAACATTTATTTCTACCTTGGAAAACTTGGCCTTGGGCCTTGGCCTTTGGGCCTGAAAGTTGTGGGTTCGATCCCCCCATGAGACCTACTCCAACTGCTCCCAATAATGTCTGCTGTCGTTGTGTCCCTGGGCAAGACACTTAACCCCACATTGCCTGAAGCCCCTGCTGAAACACTAAGGCTGTGTCACAGCTGACGGAGAAGTCATCTTCCTATGGACCCACCACCTGCAGGAGGATCAGTGAGGGACTGGTGCTGTAAGCATTGGGTGGCAGCTCTGATTGTCACCCCCCCCCCCCCCCCCTCCCCCCGATCCAGAAATGAACTAATAAACGGGTAGAAAATGAATACATTTCTAACTCGGTAAAGCACTAAAAGGTTAGTGACGGACAACCACACCTGATATCAGACAAACAAGATTAACTGGAGGATCCCACAATATTTCATAAACCACATCCAATACTTAACAAAAAATATATAGTGCAGTGGACACCCGGCTTACCAGGTCTCAGTTGTGGAGCAGACAGAAGGATCTCTGCGGGGCTCCTCTCCCACACTCTGAGCCGTAATGACCTGGCACTAAGCACACATGATGAATGAGAGAGCAGACAGAGACTAATGGGAGGGGAAATCTGAACGCACAGCGAAAAGAACCAGCACGTTCTGACCAAAACGTCTATGTAAAGTTCCCCATAAAGTGGCCGATACATTTCTGACATAGGCCTGACCTGGGTTGGATCAGCGTTTCTGTCGGTCATGTGAAAGGTTCTTTTGGAGATTATAACAATGAACCCTTAAAGAGATTAATCCGCAAACGAAAGGTGTTGGGTAAGTCAGTCACATAGCCGGAGAAAGTTTGTTGGCTGTGCTATATGTAACAAGATATTTGTACAAGCCAATTTGTGAGTACTTACTTTGTGGTATCATTCTGTGCCAAGATGGTACAATGCATACTGTATATTATAGATTGATTGAGATTAGAGGGAATTCCATCCTTAAATCCCACAAAATCAACTAGCACACAACCTACCAACATACTATTTCTTCAGAGACTCTTTAAATTTGGTTGCCATGATAGATTTTGATATACTAAAATTTTTGCGTTTTTGCCCTGATAGAATAAATATTAAATCTGCAAGAACTACTGTTTCAAAGACTAACACTCGATCTCAAGGTTGAACTCCAACTGAAATCACTGAGCCCAAACAAAATGCTCCATCAACACTATTCTTCTCCCTCTGCTCAAATCAATACAAACTTTCAACACAGCCCTTTCCTCTGCTGTGGTCTGTGACACTGGAGTCTATCCCACACACGGGCAGCTCTGCAGAGAGAGCAGAATGGAGCTATTGACCAGACTGGATAAAGAGAGCAGTATGGAGCAGAGAATGTACAGAGGCCGTCGTTCTTATGGCCGACACAACACAGAAGAGAAGTGTGGATGCTTTTGACATAAACTAAACAGATGCTTATAGGGATTTTCATGGAATACTTGATGAAAGAATCCAAATATTTTACTGGTTGTCTGAATAGGACTTGTAGTTTGCTATTGATTTTTTAGAATATTACTATTGTTTTGAGTGGGTATTAGTCATGCCTCATCATAGCAAGACGATTGTAGGATACCTGGGCCTTTCTGTGTGACATTTGCCTGTTTCTTTCTGTGTCGGACTGGATGGGTTTCCTCTTGGTGCTCCGGTTTCCGTGAATAAAATCCTCCAGCCGTGCATGAACAACTGGAGACGGGTGCAGAATGCTGCTTCACCACTGCTCCTGACAAAGGCCCTAGTGACTTGTAGGATTGGTCAACTGCAGAGGAGACATTTCCCTCAAGTTACTTACATTGTCATTCGGAACATAAGCGCTTGCTTTGTCCAACCCCTTTTCAAATCTTTTCATATCTACAGCTATTCGGCTACTGAACTAGCTTGTTGGGAAATACGGACTACATTATGTGTCTAAGCTTTTGTTAGTGTGAGCATGTGGATCATCTGAATGTGGGGACTCCAATTATGTTATGTTATTATATGTGCTGGTCTAATGTGATTTCCTGATTATTTTCAAGCTCTTACGCTGATAAAAATAATTATACCTAGCGGCATAAATAAAGTCTTCATCTGAACCTGATTACATCATTTTGATACATTATTTTAGACCAACATTTATGAATAACTTTTAAAGGGACAGTATGCAATAATCTAAAGTTAAATATGTTTGAGATTTTCTGAACAAACGTTTAAAGTGTTCTTTAAATTCTTCATTAAAATGTAATGGGTGTGATTGTCCAATCAGAGAGCAGAATGAGGCTCTCATTTGGTTGCCATTTTGTTATAACTGGTTTTGACACTAGTCTTTATACATCAGTACTATAAAACAATTCACACATAAATAAATACAACCAGACACAAAATATAAATAGTGATATATTGTACACAGATTTTGTGTCATTTCTTTCTAAACTCCATCAAAGTAGATTAGTTCTTAGGAGCTACATGTGTCACAGAAGGTTCAAGTGTAGGAGACAAATGTGCCACGTAGCATGTCTCTAAAATTCATGGTAACCGTAAAATGTAGTGATGATTTTTGTTTTATATCTGTCCAAATAACAAAAACAGAGCAGGCTACAGCTGTGTTCCATCATTCCAAAAACGTTCCAAATGACTGCTGCTTCAGATTTGTGAGGAAACGGTTTAGCCAGAATGTGTTGTTGGAATTGGAAATGGCATGTTAGCTTAAATCATATTGTCAAACTGTGTGTCTTTATTATAAGTGTAAAATTCTTTTCTTTGAACAAAGTTATTTATTTTGATTTCAGAATGAATATACATCAGTGATGCTGCGGATTTTCTGTGGATTGGATACGTCAACATCAACATCAACATTATTTGGTGGATTTACCAGCTAGTTGTATTCATCCTCCCAACAGAAGTGGATTATTTTTCTTTATAATTTGTAATGGACTAATCTGGACTACCTGAAAAGTAGACCCAAGATTCGGATCAGAACTTAGGACGTTTACTGTGGATGTAAAATGATGACTGTGATGATGCTAATGAGCTGCAGCGGGCTAATGCTAACCTTAGCATTAGCTGCAGCCTCTTCTTCCCGCTCCTCCTCCTCTTCCACCTCTTCCTCTTCCTCCGCTGCTGCTTCAGCCCCCAGGATGAAACTTTCTTATAAAGGTAAGAAATATTTGTATATGTATGTTTTATTACTTTTTTGTCACGAGAACATTGTAAAATAGAAATTGTTCTTCATGTTTTTGTGGCTAATGTAGCGTACCAAATGGTAGAGAGGAGACAGAGACAGAAAGAGGCAAATTGTAGTTGGAGATTCCCCCGAAAAGTTAGGTCCCCATTTATTTATAGAGAACCAAAACCCGCGAAACATAGGTAACACACATGCGCACTAGTATAATACTAAAAAGTCGTTTACATGCTTCCCTCTTTTAACAAGACATCATTTTCTCATTTCTATAACTGAAATAATGCACAACACACACATAAAAATGTACAAAACAGCATCAAAGTCCCAGCGTCCTCCAAGAACCAAACAATCAGCCTGGACTCCCCGCAGCAGGTAGACGACTGGCGAAGAACCGGAGCACGAACTCCCCGACCGGAACACAGGAAATCAACAGAACGTCCAGAACACAGGCACAACCACAATCCGGTGGCTCCTGAGGGACGGTGCTGGATTCGGGCACCAATGCCCACATGTCACGGTCCGATCCTGGACTTCAGCGGCCCTGAGCCTCGTGCTCAGTCCGGTACTGGAACGTCTCCCCCGGCGGCATTACTCCATCACACCAGTCCTCGAGAGTCACCCCAGTCGAAGGGAGCCTCAGAACAGCACAGGCCACACCATCACTCCAGTCCCACACCAACACAAAAATATGGCGAGAGCATAATGGCAGCTGGCACCATCGGGTCAGACTCGACAAAAAAAGGACAAAAAGCAAGGCACAAATATTCGTCTCGCACCGCCGCCACCACCGTACATAAACCCCAGGTGATGACGGCGGCACCGCTGCCACCATTGTAGCGTACCAAACGGTAGAGAGGAGACAGAGACAGAAAGAGGCAAATTGTATTTGGAGATTCCCCCGAAAAGTGAGGTCCCCATTTATTTATAGAGAACCAAAACCCGCGAAACATAGGTCACACACATGCGCACTAGTATAATACTAAAAAGTCATTTACACTAACAAATTGTTGGGGACAACAACAATATCAAAACTAAAGTATTTGCTGGTCACACACATGGATGTATTATATTAACTGGATAGGGTATTACTAGCTTGTAGCTGAAGAACTCATGTGCTCGGGGGATTCTCGCGGTACTGCAGACTGAACCAGACTAAATTCACGTGGGCTACCCAGAAATTTTCCCCATAGAACTCAATGTAAATTAAAACAGCGCGACCTCAGCTGACAGAGAACCTACAACTTTCATAAAGGTCGGATTTTGTGGGGATTTTAGTGTCCCTTGTCATCCTGAACTTTTTTTCTTCTTAAATCCTTCGGTTTTCTTTAAATCCACACTTTAGTGCCACAAACTCTGCTCGTCTGGCTCTCGCTCTAACTCCCGCTCTGATGAACTGCTCTGATTGGTCAGAGCGCGGCCGAGCCCCTCTGTGCACGTGCTTGAGACCCGGTGTGAGACCCACACACGCGTTGCGCATTATGAGAGATTATCCACTGCGCAGAACAGGGAGGACCAGACGATGCCCAAATACAGGCGAGTTTCCCATAGATCTTTGCGAGTTTCCCATAGATCTTTGCGAGTTTCAGGCAACTTCCACTAATCTTTCAGCCCCCATGCCGTCACAAAGCGCCACTGAGCACAACCATTCATTTGAATAGGGCGCCATCTTGGATCGCCGGGGCTTGGTCACACATCTGGACACAGTGGCTCTTGTTTGTATTGAAAAAAAATCAAAAGTGAACCGTATTGAGCTTAAGTCTTCCAAGTTACACTTTGTAACAATAATTTCAAGAGAAGACAATTTTCTGCCAGTCAGCCATCCGGCAGCTGTGGCTTTATGGTGTTTACCACCAAGTGTGACTGTGGCTGAATGCAATCATAACGTGTAAAACAATAAGTATTTGAAGGTCTGATTTAATATAATGTGATAGAATAAATTGAGCCACACACCTCCGGTTGCACCTGACAATGTTCGTGAGATGTCAGACTGGGCCCGCCGTAAAACAGTTTTTGGTCACTTTAGTGTTTGGATGAAGTGTCCATCCATTATTTAACAAAATGTAATACAACTATATCTTGCAAAATCCAACCCTCTCTGGAGCTGATAATGACCCCCTGGCCGCCTGGTGGACCAAACTAGGGCCCACTTTGAACACCGCTCATCTGGATCTAGGGATTTCATGTTGGTGTAACGTCTGCAACAAGTCAGTGTTGGAGAGAATACTCCCTATTTAATGCATTTATTGCTGTCCCACCCATCAGCCGTGGTGTCGTGGCTTAACAAACTGTAGATAAGCAACACTTTAAATGTTGAGGCACATTTCCCCATTGCTGTGTGCCGCACCAGTAGTGTCAGCAGGTTGTGGCTTGTGTCTCGTGTTTATTGACTGATGTGGTGGCGTTGGGTTGTTGCTAAGACTATAAAACAAACTTCTGTGCCGCTGTTTGTGAGTAAGTTTAGAGCCATGCAAACCACAGGAGCAGACTGGAGGCGGGCGAAGCATAAAGCCACAGGGAAAGTGTAGGGCTCTGAAAAGACCAGCTGCAAATAGTGCCAATGTGTCAATAGTAATGACACCGATTCACTGCTTCTCTCCTATACACATTTAGTTTTCCCTTTTCATCTTGTGTTTTTGATTTATGCCCCCTAATTTAAAATCATTTATATCCCTTTAATCTTCAATTCGATGGACAGCTGAATTGATTATTATTTATTTTTGCTCCTGCAATAGATGACCATGTACAGAGCAGTAGAGTGTTGATATAATGTCATGATGTAATATACACACTCTGCTCTGCAGCTGACTCAGCATCATGAGTGTGTGATGATCATCTGTGTTAAACAGTCTCAGAAGAAACCAAAGAAGCCTCAGGACTTTTCTGTGTAAAACATCCTCTGACCACATGACTCTTACTTATACACCAAATCATTAGTCCCTGAAAACAGTCTGAAAAAAGCAATCTTCATGATTAATTGAACTTCGAAGGATGGTTCAATGTCTACCACTATCAGCTCGCTACACTTAAGCAATCCATATTAATCATTAAACAACTTTCATTTGCAGATCTCTTTTGTGACAAATGTTTCCTTATTGAACTTGAGCACAGAACATCAATCCAAAATAGTTCAAAAGGGTTCATATGGACTGAGATACAGAAAAGACCGGATTCTCAAACAAAAACAATATATTTAGTGAAAAATGTGTTAAACTAATGTCTTAATACAATACATTGTGCAATTATAATACACATACATTGTTTATAATCTAGTAATGTATCTGCACATACTGTATGTATTATCAAGTGTTTGGTGCTTATCTGTAAAATAGTTGAAAGGTTTCGGCTTTTGGAAAGGCCAACATAGTCCTTGGATGTAGGTTGTGGTGGTGTCTTTCTTTCCAAATTATCTTAAATATCTATCCTGTCCTCTGATTTCTGATTTGTATTTATAATTGATCTTTTGTTGTCTCTCCGGCTCAGAGCTGCAGCAGTTCCATGGGGTGCGGCGTTTCGACCTGGACCGTTCATGTTGTTTTGGAGCGTTACTTCTGGATGAGGAGAGAGGACGGCTTTTTGTTGGGGCCAAAAACTTTCTCCTCTCATTATCTTTGGACAACATTGCCAAACAGGAGCACAAGGTATGGACTATGCAATCAATATACTGACTCTTCCTGCCAGTGGGGTTCCACAGGGCACGGTTTTTGGCCCTGATCTGTTTTCATTTTAAACAGTATATTGTGCCACAAACATTTAAATGATTTGTGGTTTGATGAGATTGGTATGATATGCTGATCAGGGTAGAAGAGACACAATGGCTACTGACTGCTGATAAGAGAATGTAAAATATTATCGTGTGATGACTTTTTGACAATGTATGCTTAGGTGTGGATAATACTGACAGAGGCTGAAATCAATATGTAACTTCTTTAGTGATTATTCTGATGACTGATGAGTATTTCATGTTTGGATTTAAGTAGTACATGTACTGTATGAAAACTTCAGTTCAGTTCAAAATATATAGTATTTTAGACAAACAGGATTGTTTTCTTTGGGGTTCATTAGCAAGATAACAAAAAAGTGACATGTGTGGATTCTTACAAAACCTGGGAAATGGGACAAACAAATTATTACAACTGGATTTTTTTTAAAGAATGGAACTGTCTGTTTTGCTGAGGTCTGCAATCTACAGTTAGTTAGAGCTTGAAAACCGGCCCTGAGCCTCTATAAAACCATTATAACTGCACTGTTGTGGTCTAAGGAAGGAGCCATATGTGAGCTGTGAGGAGTGAAGCTTCTGTGGTCAGACCATAGACGAGCTACTGTACCTCAAGTTAAATAATGATAAGAAAATTGACTGTCAGTAGTCGTAATGTAATGACTGGGGTATGTTGTTTCCAGTCCTAAAACTGACACTACTTAGTACGTCACAAAAGTCCATTGTCTGTGAAGTATTGGACAGTACTTGCTGGTACAGTGAAGCCTGGAACTGAGCCCTGATCTGTCTGCAGCAGCAACATTCTCAGAGCCATTCTAATCCTATAAAACGATTCACACTTACTTTTAAATGTTTTGTTCAAATTTTAAGTGTCCATTAAATCTCAGTTTGATTCATCAAATGAATGAGTTGCCAAAAGTAAATATAGTCAGGACATTGTGACACATGTGTAAACCAGTTTTCAGTTGTGTTAACATAATTACATAAGGGTTTTCAAATAATCATGAGGCCTTTTAGCACAATTAGCTAACATGAATGTTTTACTATACACACATCTGATATTTAAGTATTCCATTAAGTAAACAAGAATTGACTTCATTATCAATATCAACACTTTTTTTCTGATCCACTTTATTATGTCTACACTATTTCAATGTTATCTTTATGAATACAATTTCCTTTTCAAGTGATCCCAAACTTTTGAACTGTATTGTACTGATATCTCGTGAAACACGTTTCTTTGGGGGATGTTTGAAGTATTTTATTTTTGTATCACTTGAATAATGGTTTAAGTGTTTTTTAGGACAACCATGCTGTTAAAGAAAATCAAAATTGTTGTGTTTTTTCTCTTGATTGCAGATTTACTGGCCCGCCCCGGTGGACTGGAGAGAGGAGTGTAACTGGGCAGGCAAAGACATCACTGTGAGTTTAATACATTACACACTGGTCTAATCATCTACTGGTATTCATCTACTGGTATTAAAACAGGAACGCTTATCACTGGCCCAATGCCATAATGTGACCATGTATGAAATATCAAATATTCAAGGCTTTAGAGGTGCATTAGCCAAGTCTGGTTCTAGCCTGATAAAGAGAATGAGTATCTAGATTTGATATAATTTGTTTCTGGTATTGATACTTGGAACCACCTGGGGCTGACTGCACAATCCCAGCTTTATACGGTCTCAATAATAGTCTGGTTGTTAAGGAGACTAAGAATATAATGTTATCAGCCCAAGGTTGACCTACCTCTGATTCAGAAAACTCATCTGACAGAAGTACGTCAGCTTTCAGAAACCTGAGCTTATATTTCCTGCAGCTGTTTATGTAAAAGTGTGGCTGTGTGTTCGATCAGACCTGTGTCACACAGACCCAACACAGAGCAGCTTCTCTACGTAAAGTCATGAGAGACACCACACGCCGGCCACAGGCTCCACATGTCACATCCTCACGTTCTATCAAAAAGAATACTTAGCTTTAGCACCTCTTTAATAAATGTAATTGTCTTATTTTCTATGACAGTCTGAAACTAAATGTGTTAGCAAGTGAGGATTAGCCTAAGACAGCTGTTCGATATTTAAATGCGATACTGGGCCTTTAATTCCCATATTCTGACCAAACATCACATTCAGCCGGAAGACTGAATTGTTTATTGTGATGGATGTCTGCTTCAAACAGATTTTTCTTCTTCGTCATGTCCACTCACAAACATACTTATTAGAGGTGACTCAGAGGATACTGTTTATGACTCAAACAAAGACATTTCCTGAGATTGTGCTGTAGTGCTCTTTCAGCGAAGGGACGACAATTGTGAAATAATATTGTTCTTTAGGCTCTAGGCTTATGGTTAGGAATATCTTTCATTTGAGACCTTGATACTGTACACTTGAACATAATCTTTTATTTGCATTTGAAGAAGTTGAACTCGATGAACCTTGGCGTTTCCATGTTCTCAGATGCTTTACGCAGTAGGTGCACATCATTATTCCAGGTCCCTGCGCCACTTGGATTTAATTTAACGCTTTATTTGCAGTATAGTAGCTGCTCTCAAGCCTGTCCTCAGTCAAGTGCAGGTCCAAGTCCAGACCACCCAGGAATTAGTCAGTACCAAACCAAGACTAAAGACCAGTGCATGATAATACAGCTGCAGACACAAGAGTCCCATTCATCACAACTGCAGTGTCCCATTACACCTGAACACAACACAGAGCCATTCAGAAAGACAGGCCTGGCTTTGGCCTGGTCCTGCTCCAGCATAATGTCCCGCTAAACATGTTTTACCCTTTCACTTCCAAGTAAAGGTGATCCCTTATCCCTATTTGACCACAAGTAGAACAGTGGTATGTTAGACAATGTCCCTTTTGCTATATTTGTACCTAAAAAATTAAACTAGGATAAAAAAAAGTGTTGCTATTCATATATTCAAACAAAATGTTAAGACATTTAAATGTTTGGGGCGACCAGCTGATATGCTTACCAGTTCAATCATTGAAAAAAAAAAAACACGTCAATTTATTGGCATAACATCTGTATCATTGTAGCATCTACAAAGCTGCAGAAGAGAAACATAATGTCACTATAGTTTGAGCGGAAGTGGAACTGTACACCGTCTGATCCGAGGGTGAATTTGTAAACCAGGACTTGGGAGTGGAATGTCCAGTGGTGGCAGACTGAGAACTGCCCACATGCAGACAGCACAAAAACCCTATCATTCACCTCCCACAGGAAGCCAACTCCAACATTTAAAAGCAAACTTGATTCTACCTGCTGTCTTTTCAGACATCATAACTAACTCTAAATCACATATACAGACACGGAGGAGAGAAGTCATATTGAAGAAGGAAGAATGATGATGTTCCGTTTGCCTTTTCTTTTGAGATATATTGTTCAGGGTGTTCCTATAACAAAGAAGTCAAAGTCCATATATGAAATTCCACTGCTCTGAATCAGACACAGCATTTTTATTTCCTGGTACCATCTATTATTGATTAGACTAGACTAGGGAGTAACAGCATCGCAATATTGCACTCCAACATACAAAACAATAAAAAATGAACTATGGACACATGTATACAATGTAATGAAATCTTGTATTTCACATTTGTCATTGTTAGATGTTTGATCAATGATGAATGCTTTAAGCCTGCATGTGTGAAATGGTGCTGCTGATTGTAACGTGAGTCTGGCTTTGAGCTTGTCTAAGTCAGGCTCTGGTTGCATCCACTGGTTCAATACTATAGATATCGCATTCAAAGGCCAGTGGTCACAGGTCAAAGTGACCCAGGAAGCACTTTGATGTTTTGTTTGGGGAAGTTTTTGTTTCTTTTGTTTGATGAGTTGAGTTGACTTTGCACACAGAAACAGTGGTTTGAGGCCATTAAACTGACCAAAGGGAATTTAACCAAATGTTTGGAACATTGCATTAAAGGTTTGGGTTTTGAGGTAACCCAAAACATTTATAAACAAAAAGTTGACAGAATTTTCAAACAGAAGGTTGGACATTTAGGGAACCAAGTATTATAAAATAAAACTGTTGTACACTTTAGACCTTTTGAACCAAATGCCTTTTGACACTAAGGCATCTCCCATATCATAGCTAATCAAGCTTGTTAAGTAAATTATCAAAGGATTTGGCTTCTGTCTTGTCCTGGTTTATTTCTGGTCTGGTTTCTGTGCTGTATTCTCTGATACAAATTCCTGACATAACTGTGAGCACCACTGCAGATCTGTTTTCACTACAATCTGTCCACTGCACTGGTTCTGTACAAACACAAGCAATCACTACACAACACACTGGATATACTACTGGACCTCGGCTTTAACTAATTGTGAGGGTGTGTTCACTCAGTGGGCACGCTCACTTCAGAAGCAAACGCAACTTGATTGACTTTAAAACTACTCAAATAATGTGTATCTCAGTGCGTGGAGTATGTATACTGAGCATGGAGGAGAGAAAGTGTTGCCTTCAAGACAGAGCATGTAGTGGGGGGTGGGTGTTGGGTCAGTTAGTTTCTGTTTTTTGTAGTTACACATATCCTGAAAGGGGAAAAAAAGATTGAGTGATTGATTTGGGCTAAGTGGGAACCCACCCTCATGGCTTGTGTTCCAGACTGACTGTGTGAACTACGTGAAGCTGCTGCACCATTACAACCGCACCCATCTGTATGCCTGCGGCACCGGGGCCTTCCATCCCACCTGCGCCTTTGTGGAGATCGGCAACCGGATGGAGGTAAGAGCAGAGGCTGTGTATTAGTACTGACGTTACCATGGTGTTAGCAAAATGTGGAAGAAGCCGATTCGAACTAAAGTTAGCGGGAGCCGATTTCCTTATATGGTCTTTTGTTTTGACGGAGTAAGCGTCACGCCATAACAGGGGCAAACGTGTTGCTAACATGGTTACTTATGGCATGCTGGAGTTTCCCTCGAGAATGAAGGCATCTGATTGGATTTACAAATCAAACTAAAAGACCTTGGATCATAGAAAGTACTAAACCACAGATTTTTTAAGCCCAAAATGGTGAGAATGACACAAGCAGTTACTGAGCTCGTGGAGTTTTCAATTTGAATAGGAGCCAGAGCGAGTTGGAGCAAAACTTTGCCTATGAGCACTTTCCTTATTGTCCTCCATTGAGCTGGTGGGTTAGGATTGTCCATGTGTATATATTCTATAGGTAAGAAATGGACTTTGGACAAGCTTCACAGCAGCGAAAATAAAGTTGATAAAATGGTTTGTTGTTTCCCAGGATCACGTGTTCCGCATCGACCCGTCAAAGGTAGAGGATGGAAAAGGGAAGAGTCCGTACGACCCCAGACACCAGGCCGCCTCCGTTCTCGTCGGTGAGGGACAATACATAATATGTACACCATACTTTTATCAGTCTTTGACCTGTGCTCTCTTGATATTATCCTGCCCAAAGTTTCATTCATTTTGACTGATTATTACATGTTTGATTCTCTCATTTAGTGCTCAAAGAAATGACCTGGACGGGGTCATAAAACAAAAGCCAATGTTCCTTTTGTTTTTTCATAGCTGTAGTTTTAATCAGAATGTGAGTTAACCTACTTCTGTTCTTTATCCGATCATTATCACAGCTGGGGTAAAAATGTAATAAAATCCATTTCCTCAAAACAGTTTAGTTTTATGTAGTTTTCACATGCCTGTACATGTATTTCTGGTTTCTGTCGCATCTTATATCAGTTTTTTTCAGAAAGAAAAGTGAAAAAGAAGGGACAACTTCTCGCTGGTTTGGTCGCTTAACCAAACCACTACTCAAGTACTCAATTTGTTTGATAAGATGAAGATATCATTATATGGTCTGTTTTGTTCACATAAAGATTATTGGGAAAAAGTGATGTACCCCAGCTTTAACAAAAAGAATTGATCTCTAAGTCTGTATTAAGCTTTGAAGATATAAAGAAAATGCAATTTAGCCAATGTTAAATAAATAGTTATTTCTTTCCTTTTATTCACAACAAACTCATGATGTTCCCAGGAGACGAGCTGTACGCTGGAGTGGCCACAGACCTGATGGGGCGAGACTTCACCATCTTCAGGAGTTTGGGCAAAAGGCCATCGATAAGAACAGAACAGCACGACTCACGCTGGCTCAATGGTAATAAACGCCAACTACTTTGTCCCCACACTCAACCTGGAGAATACACGCCAAACAAAGATGAATTTAAGCACTATACTTTGACATTACCGAGAACTATTGCCTCCCTCAGAACCAAAGCTTATTGGATTTTGTGTATTGATTGTATTGTTGTTTTTCCTTATCTTACAGAGCCAAAGTTCATAGGCTCGTTCTGGGTTCCTGAAAGCGAGAATCCAGACGACGATAAAGTTTTTTTCTTCTTCCGGGAGACGGCGGTGGAGGCGCAGGGCATCGGCAAATCGACGTACTCTCGCATTGGGCAGTTGTGTCGAGTAAGACCAGTGTAGTTGAGTGACAGTGTCGGGTCTAAACACTTGGTAAATTGTAATATATCTCTGTAATATATCATTTCAGAATGACCTGGGAGGACAGAGGAGCCTGGTGAACAAATGGACCACGTTCTTGAAAACTCGCCTGATTTGTTCCGTTCCCGGAGCTGACGGCAGTGACACGTATTTTGACGAACTCCGTAAGCATACACTCTGTAGAAATAATAAAATAAAAAATAAAAGAGGGCCAACCCTAATCATGGTCACCCACTGTCAACTGAAGTGCCCCTTAGATCTTGGTTTAGACCTAGACTTTCAGTTCATAATTATCACATTATTTTCCACTGATCCAATTTTGCCCTGGTGTAGAATCTTGAAGGAATAAATACTCAAATAAATACAGAAATACTGCTTAAATTAGGTTAAAAGAATTGCACATCTTTGATTAACTTTTTTTTTTGGTAAAAATGTATGTTTCATATGTATTTGCACTTTTCATGTTTTATTGTCTGTCTTTTTGTTTTTTTGAAGAATAATCTTGATTCAATCAAGATTGTTTAATGAACATTATATTACTGGAATTTGAACTATTCCTTCATCCCAAATCCCAGTATTCTCTCATTACATATCATTACAGATAAACCCCATGTTATAACACCACATTCAGCACAATGATATTGAAAGTTTTGTTGAACAGTTTGGAGCCGTTCATCCGTCAGCAAAGACTTAATCAGTGTCAGGACGTGTCCCAGGGAAAGTCACCTGTGCGACCTCTTTAATCAGATCACAGACAACCGTGGGGCTGTTTATCCTCCTGTTGACCCCTGACCTTGTGTTTACTGTGCCCTCAGGAGACGTCTTCCTGCTGCAGACCAGGGACAGGAAGAACCCCCTGGTCTACACCGTCTTCTCCACGTCCAGGTCCGAAACGTGTAAAAACCACATGTAACCCACAACTGTGCTGTTTTACAGAGGTCTCTGTCCTCTTTAGACCGTCTTTAGTCCTGCTTTAGTTTCAGTCATGGTACTATACTGATTGAGTTATTTATTTGGGGTTGTACTATTTGTTTTTAATCTGATTCCGTCCTATTTTATAATTTTAGACCTGGTTTTGTCCTAAACGTAGAGCTCCTTTCTTTCTTGTTTAGACTGTGTCTGTGTATATATGCAGTGTGTTATTTATTTACCTTCACATATGTTTTGTTTATTTACTCAGAAACTAATATTTGTCCTCTGTCCCAGCAGCAGTGTGTTCAAGGGCTCTGCTGTGTGTCTCTACTCTATGAATGACATCCGCAGAGCTTTCCTCGGGCCCTTCGCTCATAAAGAGGGACCCAACTACCAGTGGATCCCCTTCCAGGGAAAAGTGCCCTACCCCCGCCCCGGCATGGTACAAAACTCCCTTTTTAATACTCTATTTAAGTTTTAGTCTCTTTTTTAGTTTAAGTTCAGTTTTGCTCAATGGAAATGACTACTTTAGTCATCTAAATCCATAGTAGCATTAGCCAATAGATTGTAAACTTAAATGTACTAGATAATTAATATGTAATTGCTTCATGGGACCTGTGCAGGCGTGTTCTTTGAAATTGGTTTTATTTATGGTCTGGTTGGTGGCTCTGCAATTGATTCAGATTCAATGTATTTGCAATTTGCAGAAAAATACATTGGAAATAGCTTGACTTGATCCTGTCATTCACCATTGTTGAAATCTACTTCTCGTTTTAGTTTTGATTATTACTTTTTATAATTCCGTCAGAACACTTACTGAACTGAACTATTGGTATTAGTGTCACATATTTTTGTTGATTTTACAGAAAATAGAACCAGTCAGGAGCAAAATGAAGCATAGAGATGTTTTGCAGCAGTGAGATCAAAGAGCAGATTTACAGGTGCAGTGAAAGAGGACTTGAAAGCAGCGGGCGACAGAGGATGCGGAGGAGATCTGTTTCCCTCATTATCTGGATGTTGGTAATGGCGTTTAAAGGAGTGCAGTTTTAGCTCAGATGGACGTTAAAGTGACGCTGCGATGATAATGGTTTTTAAGTTCACACAAACTCAAGATGTTTGCTCTGAACACACAGCTTTAGACAAACGACTGCATGTAAAGTTCAGACCAGGTGCAATGACTCAGCTCCACACACAAGGAACTTCAGATATTTCACATTTTCTGCAGCACAATCTATAAAAGTCAAGTTGATAATAGGGCTGGGAGGAAACAATACAATGTCAATAAAAGTATTAGGTATGTGGTAGTATTGTTTTTTTTTTATATATACGAGACAATATTAGGTTAGCAATGTACTGAAAACAATCATTTCAACACATTGGGATTCATTCAGTATTAAAGCAGGGGTTCCTAAGTTTCAAAACACAAAATCCATCGAGCTTGTTTCTGGTTTTATCACTAGTTTTCACTTGGATGTATTTTAGTTCTGCCTTTTCAAACAGGAAAATTTAAATTAGAGGATCAACACTCAGCCAATCAGCTCTCAGCCCACGACAACAAGACTCTTTCTGTTGGTTACAACTATTACAACAACTATTACAACAACTATATCATTTTTGGAGAGAAAAAATTTGAGTGCCCCAGCTTTAAGACAAACTGTATTATTGAATGCAGAATCTAATTTATTATGGAAGTTTTCGACAAAATCTGTCTCACAGAATGACTAAATGTGTATACTGTATTGTTGGGACAAAATGGGATCCTGTACATCAAAGCGTGGTTGTTTATTCACAAAATGGCAGTTTTTTTCAGACAGAGCAAACTCTAGATAGCTGTCTAATCCTCATAATATCAAGTGTAAATGTATTGGAGTCCAGACCCACACTACAGTGACAGCGGTGTGTCAAGTCATGCGTTTGAACTAACGTGTTTGCCGTTTGAATTCCAAAACAAATGCCCTGTGTCCATGGCCAAAACACCTCCACTGTAATAACCAATCTACCTGTATTTATTGAGTCCTTTGTAACACAAAAAGTGACCAAAGCTCTTCATAGTTAAATCAGAACATAAAATCATTTCAATAAAACTAATCAAATGCCTAATATTAAAATGCCCACTTCTGTGACAGTGTATAGACGGGCACTGTGGTTAAACAACTAAACCTGTTTTTAGAGTTCTCCAAAATACCATAAGATGATTTTATTGTGTAATGTAACTACTGTTAGTAAGTTCCTCCGTTGACTTTGAATCTACTGGGTTGAACAAGCTATGAATTGCCAAAATCAGTGGCATGAATTTTGCTTTATTTATTTTTTTATTTCCTACTCTTAACTCTCATCCAAGTCGCCCCAGAGCTACTCAGACCATAGATCCCAGTGCTCTTCACCCAAACTGTTTCCAGTCTTGTTTAAATTGTTCTTATCTCCTGTGTCCAGTCCCTGAACGCCCCATGGCCCTCTTTGTGTGCGTGTGGGATTAACCAGCAGAACTAATGTCATTAAACGCAGCTTTAGGAAAACAACAGCCAATCACAGCCTTCTATTCAGTCAAGACACACTGCTCTAAGAGAGCGGGCTGTCTTTTTCTTTTATTCTAATTGACCCATTCATTTAGGATCTCAGCTCAACAAAGAATTCTGTATGGAGTTGTGGAATGTCTGACCCTCAATTTGTAACAAGGATTGGATATTTTATTTATTAGCCTTTCATGTTTCCCAGCTTCTACTAAGCTTTTAACCTTAAAAAAGTGGATACGCTGATTTTTCACTATAATTTTAATGCATCGGTTTTATATAGCGCTTTTTTAGACACTCAAAGACGCTTCACATGTCATTATTCATTCACTCCATACACAGTGGTGATAAACTGCTACTGTAGCCACAGCTGCCTTGGGGCACACTGACAGAAGTTGTGACGCAGGACAGGAACTTATTTACTTGTTCCTTATGCACCTGTGCACTTCCCAGATCCTCAGACCTCAACCGTCTTGCTGTTTTTTGTGTAAAACTAACATAGGAGAAGCAGCTTTCTCCCATTATGCTCCTTGTATATGGAAATGTGTTCCGCTATTTTAAAGGGGCTGTATGTAAGTAGTAATGGTCTAATAAAGTTACATTGCAAATACAATCCAACACCTCGATTTCAGCAAGAAATGATACTATTGGTTCTGTGCTTTTATATTGGATAATATGTAGGAACACTGTAAACATAATATTATGAACATCATGTCCATTGTATTTTTAATTAATAGAAATTATATTCTATTCTATTATAAAAAAAAAGATAGAACCATGATTTGTAAGTCCCCCCTGTAGATCGATTTGTGATGTTGTAAGAGAATGCATTTTTAGAGCGGTTAATCTTATCCAAACTTGATCTGAGCCTTAATGTTGTTCTGTAGATGACACCGTTTTCCTCCTGGTTCCTCCTGGTTCATGCTCCTTCTCTCTTTCCCAGTGTCCCAGTAAGACGTTTGGCAGTTTTGAGTCGACCAAAGGTTTCCCAGACGAGGTGATCCAGTTTGCTCGCCACCACCCGCTCATGTACAACCCGGTATACCCCCTGAACCGAAAGCCGGTCTTTGTCAGGACCAACGTGGACTACAGCTTCACACAGTTGGCAGTGGATCGAGTCAACGCAGCCGATGGCCAGTACGACGTCATGTTCATCGGCACAGGTACCAGGCTGGAGTTATAGAGTCTTGATTTGAATGTGATATTGTTCTTCATTTATGATCGTTGTTATGCTCTGCCAGACAAAGGGACAGTGTTAAAGGTGATCAGTGTTCCCAAAGAGAGCTGGAACAATATGGAAGAGCTACTACTGGAGGAGCTGGAGGTTTTTAAGGTAGGATTCCGATTACATGTGCTTATATTACAATACAGATACAGCTTTGTAAACTTGTATTCCTTTCCCCCAGGACAACTCAGCAATCATCAACATGCAGATCTCTTCTAAACGGGTAAGATTCACCATATTTATGTTTGGACAGTGCATGTTAATGAGTAGATAACACACATGCTACAACTACCAAGATAGAACCTGGAACCATTGACCAATTATGTAGTGGATGAACTTCACAAAACTTAAAGCTGGGGAACTTTCAAACCACAGTAAATGTAACTATGTAAAATTATCCAACCTATAAATTCCACGCACTACTTTTTGCATGCATGTCTTGTGAAAAAGATAGGACCACCCTCACTCAGCCCAAAGCTTCATACTACTTCTTCAGTACATTATTTCATCACATTGAAGACAGCATGGTCAGATTTGTTCACAACATTTTACCAGACTCTTTCTGTTGTGACAAGCTGCATGTATTATTGAGGCAGGAGAAAAATTTGGTATCTCGGCTTTAATGTGATAATTCCTTCAGCTTCCAAGTTTTTTAGGTAAAGTTACAAGACATACCTATAGTAGACTAGAGTAAATCAAGTATGGCAGTATGAATACAGTATAAAGTGTGAGGAACTGAATCTTGTGAATCCTTTGTGTCCTTTAGCAACAGCTGTATCTGGGCTCGGACACTGGACTGGCACAGGTGCCTCTCCATCGCTGCAGTGTGTATGGGAAAGCCTGTGCGGAGTGCTGCTTAGCCCGGGACCCCTACTGTGCCTGGGATGGGACCTCCTGTACGCGATACCTGCCCAATACTAAGAGGTACAACTACTGCTATGGCAATGAGTTTTTGCTATTTGCATCTATCCAAATTACAATTTGGATGGATTTTTTGTTCCAAGTTGGCCTATTCTCTCATGGGTAGAATAAGAGGTGTTTTTAATCATTTGTCACTACTTTCGTATGAGCCTATAAAAGAAAAGAATGATGTTATTGCTTTTCAGACGTTTCCGACGGCAGGATGTGAGGAACGGAGACCCCAACACTCTTTGCTCAGGAGGTGAGACTTTTCAAAGTTTCATTTCTTGACACGTTGAGTCAACACAAACGTGATTGTATTAGGTCTGAGGCTCAGTGAAGCTGTCAGAAAACTGTGAAGTCTTTGTGGCTGAGAACATTTTCCTCTGAACAAAGATCCTTTTTCAGGCACAAACCCAGACCCTTCACACTGTGTCACTGGGCTGTTCCACAGTTATACAGTGCTTACGTTTCCACTTCAAATGGCCTGGATGTAAAGGTTTGAGACTGGAACAAAGCTGCAAGAAAAAGCAGTTTGTTTGGATGGTTTTGAAAATACTATTAAAATGAATGAATAATTTATTATATATAACAAAGTCACTAGGCTTACATTTACGTTGAAAATGTGTTCCATGTTTGTCTGATAATACGTAGTGTAATGTGGTTAGTCTGTGTGCAGCACAGTGCACTTACCTCCTTTTCTGTTCGACTGGTTCAATGATATGCTACGAGAGTAGAATGAAAACCAGGGAAGTACAGAAATGTTCTACTATATAATTAAGATATTAAGTAACAATATATATCTCTGTATAACAGAATGTTTGTTCGCTATGTTGTACTGGTCTCCACACAGTTGTAATGGTGTCTCATGTGCTGTCCTCTGCTGCCCCCCTCAGACCATCATAAGCACCGCGTCTCAGAGAAGAAGCTGTACGGTGTGGACGGCAGCAGCACGTTCCTGGAGTGTATCCCCAAATCTCTGCAAGCTCAGGTCACGTGGACTTACCAGAAGACGCCCCAAAGCCAACGAGAAGAGGTGGGGTCATTAAAAACTATTTGACTGGACATGGCATCAACGAGGCACATAAACATGCCTCTTGATGCATGTCCACTTCAGAAAAAGGAATTCAGAACTCCAGCACAGAGAACTTTCACTTTCTCAAAATTTTTTGAAATTCAGTAACTGTGAAGGAAACGGGTATTTTCCCTCAAATGACTTTTTACCAGTTATTGATGCTGAAAATAACAACCTAGCACTTTTGTATGACAAAAAGCTAAAGTTCTGGGCTTTGATCACACATAGTCTTCTCACATATATTAAAAGGCCTACTCTGCAGATCAGCTGCTGAACTCATAGAATCAACAATGAAATGGATCGATATTCAATTCCAGTATTCTTACCAGTGCATCCCTAAAAATCACTGAAATATGCGTACCAAACTCTATGAAGATGTAGGTCTATTTTTATTTGTCACTGATGGATTTCCCCAATATAAAAGGTCTAAACTGGGTCATGCTCTAACAGAAAGTGATTGAAGAGCAAAGGTGAAGGGCTATGTACCTTAACAGAGTGTTTAAGGATGAAGACTAAAGGTCAAACCTCTTCTTCAACTCGTCATTCAGTCCGACCTCACATCGTCCCTGCACACAGTAAACACACTGCTGTAAATCATGCTTTAGCTTCAAACAGCTGACCTCCTCCCCAGTATTATATTCTCTTCAGGGTTTATCTCCTGCTCTGCCAGTGTCTAGGCCTCGGGGGAATAGAGATTTTATCTGATATCCTGGACATATATATCTCTCCTGGGGCTTTTCCTCACCAGAGCCTCGGCACCAAAGACAATTTATCATGTCATATCATCTCATATCCCTAAGGGATGTTTCACAAACTCTCATGTTACAAACTTTCTGTTCTAATTGATCAAATAAAACATTGTCAATGATCTTGATTTTATGAAGTTTAAACTATCACTAAAGAAAAGTCACATTTGAAACCACTTCTGTTCTCAAGTGACATCTGGTTATGAACCATGTGTTCGTGTGTCCACTTGTTTGTGTCTTTATGGCCTCAGTCCTGTCGGTCACTGATCTGTCCCTCCCCTCTCCTCTCCTCCCCTCCCCTCCCCTCTCCTCCCTCTCCTCCCCTCCCCTCTCCTCCCTCTCCCCTCTCCTCCCTTCAGGTGCGTCTAGACGACCGCCTCTTACACACCGAGCGTGGGCTGCTGATTCGCCGCTTGCTGAAGCGTGACGCCGGCCTGTACCAGTGCCACGCCATGGAGCACGGCTTCACTCAGACCCTGTTGGGCATCACCCTGGAGGTCGTCCCCTCCGTCACCCCCCAGGAGCCCCCCTCCAAACTGGACCCTCGCACCTCCAACCCCGCCCACTCTCACCCCTCCACCAATCAGAAGCTGTGGTACCGTGACTTCATGCAGCTCGTGGACCACCCCAACCTCAGCACCGTGGACCAGATCTGTGAACAGGTGTGGGCGCGCAAACAGGCCACCAACCACCTAACGCCAGAAAAAGGCATTGTGGGAAGTGCAGGCAAAGATCACTCTGCTGCACAGCCAGCAGGGAGCGCTCCGGGGCAGGGCGCGGCCAACAGGCCCAATAATAAGAAGTGGAAACATCTGCAGGAGATCCGGAAAGGCAGGAACAGGAGAACGCACGAGGGGAAATCGAACCCTCGCACGCCTCGCTCGGCCGGGGAGTGAAAAGGAGAGAGAGGGACTACAGACAGAGACTGAGAGAGCAAAACTGTGGAGGAGTGGAGCTGGACACAACATGGCAATCCACTTTATTTATATAGCACAAACAGAATAGTAGTGTGTTCAACTGCAATACAAGTTTTAGAAAGATGTTGCCATTTATAGGTAATTCTCAGAGTCCACTTTACTTCCTCTGAAACCCAGTATTATCATTATTTCAATCCCTTTTATATTAACATTTAGCTCTAAAAAGTATCAAATTATTTGAGTCAAAATGTGTGTTGATATTGGAGGCGATATTTGATGTTTCAAAATACCAACACTAAAACTTGAAAAATCATAGCACTCTCCAAAGACTTATCTCATGTGAAAATATAATAAGTTTACAATTTAACATTTTGGGTTTTAGAAAAAGGTTTAAAAAATTATGATTGTGACGAGGATGCATTGGCAATGGCGAATATCTGGAAAACCTCTCATACCCGATATTCAGTACTGACATATAACTTAGAAGACAGCTGCAGAAAATGGATGGATCTTTTAACTGATACTAAAAATGTGGAATACGTCTCTAGTATTTGGAAAAGCAGCATTAACTCGACACAGTGCTGTCCAGTTCCTCTCCCCTCCACATCTCGCTCCTACACTCTAACACAGCACCTCTTGTAATTTAATCTGTGTTGGAACCTTTGACCCTTGACCCCGGATTCTGCCCCTGCATGTGCTGCCTCGGAGCCTGGACGGATCGTGCACGTTCCCTTTACACTTTTCACTGTGGACTTTTGACTTAAAGTGACGGACACCTGAATATGCGGGCAATAATTTCACCAGATTCAAAAGACACAAGAGACAATGTGGTTTTTTTTTTTTATACTTCCACAAAAAACATGGATACAGGACAAATGGACAGAACTGGAAAATGAGTTTTGACAAAAAGATGAGAAGAGCCAGTTTGGAGTTGGTCATTTACAATATAAGCTAGGCACCACTTTCGATGTTGTAAAGTCATGGTTCCCAATAGACCAAGGTGAGATCATTTGTAGTGTAGTGGTAGTGTAGGGTAGTGTCCGTCGTCCAGAGATTTTCTAATAAAGTTAAGTACAAATAAGAAAACTGTTTATAATATATCTTGCTCCAGACAGGCTCTGATTGGGCGATTGGTCCGTGAACTGTTCCCATGTTGAATCTTCCTTTAGATTCACTGCATGTTTTAGACCAGCTCCTGTGAACAGACGTGGACCACTACAAAGACTTCCTAACGACTGAAGAGGAGGAAAGTGAGGTTTACTGGATTTACTGGAAGATGACAGAAAAGACTGATTCAATTGTTACTAACAGTGGGATACACTGAATTATTATTTTGCTAATATTTAATCTCAAACCATTTTCAAATTTGAAATGGGTGCATGAAGATGGAGAAGGCATAGACTTATGGTAGAGTTAAAGGACACCTTATAATACAATGTATATCATTTTGATTTTGATTTTAACATGACATTCATGTTTAGACACATGTACACATAAGTAATTGGCATTATGCTCGAAACGAGTCTGACGACAATTAAAGCTGCGGAACTGCTTTTCCTTTTACAATGACTTTTACTTGTAATAAAATCTAACTAGTCCCTCGCTCTCAAAACAGTTTGGTTTTATTACTAGTCTTCATATCCAGGTATTTTTAGTCTCTGAAAAAAGCTGATCTGAAGATTTGACAGAACGGAGAAAAAGAGAGATCTCAGCTCAAAGCATCAAAAAGTGACTCACAGGGCTCTTCTTACTTGTATGTAGATCTATTCCCGCTAAGATAAAGACTTATATCTGTGTCGTTCACAATATTTTATGTTTTCGGGACTCTACTCGTGATTTTTATGAAAGTGTGGTTCCCCAGCTTTAAGGTGTGAAAGAAGAACAGACAGTGTCACAGATGAGAAAACTAAAGCTAGTGTGGGTGAAATGATTTACAACTCCAAGAGGTTTTGCTAAAGGAACAACGGTGGATGCTATTATGGATGTATGTTATTTTTCAAATCTACAATTTGAGAGAATTATGTTTCTCTCTGCAAAGCACCTCAGAGTCGCTGTGCTGCCTTTTTTCTTATTATGATAATTTCTATATTCTACTTTATAAATCCCACTAAGAAAGGCTTCTCTGTTCATCTTTATCTTCATGAAAATACATTTAAAAAATACAAACAATCTTTTAGACAAAGCATTTGACCATAAATGTCTGGAGAATGAACCTTGTGTGGAAGAATTCCAGGAGACAAGTACGACTCCCGCTTCCCGGGCAGAGGATAAAACACTTCCAGAATATTCGCATGATATTTATGAGTTTGTAGTAGATTAAACTAATGGAACATTTTTGCTTTTCTTTTACACTGTTTTTGTAAAATATTAATATATGCAAATCAGAAAACGATGTTGATAGACGGGCCCTCACTACATTCATTTGACAACAGCCGTGTTTCTGAAAGGATTCTAACAGGGTAACGGCGTCTTCATTTTGTTTAGTACTAGATATGCAAGTGCTTCCCAACGCGAGGTCCAAGGCCCACTTGGCATCCTCAGAAAGGTTGCCAACATAACAAGCAATTGAGAATTAAATCAAGCCAACAAAAAAGTCCTAAATGTAGTCTAAATGATTGAGTTATTTATCTATTGGGATAACTATCGACACTATGTCCATATTTGCACATTTAAACAATTTAAGATTGACAAAATATTTGGTTATTAAGATTGTTACGTGAACCGCACTTTTTTACAAATCTGTGTGGTTTTTTATGTCATTCCAGTTCATATCTAAAAAAAATAAAAAAAATAAAAACATTACATTTTCTGAAGTGAATGATGTTTCTCTGGTGAGCCTCGGTGCTGAAGACTTTGGGACGAATAAAACTCCCACCACTTTTAAACCGTTTTCACTTTTTTTCTCCCAACTGTGTCTTAACCCAAGAACATTACAATTCAAGAGTACATTTTAGTTCCAGAAACACGGCTCTTGTTTGCATCAACAATCTTCCAACGTTTTAAATGTTACAGAATTTTTGCTGCTTCAAACTAACATGTCATTTTTTTCTTACCTTAAAATAGTCTTCATCTGCGTTTGTAAAGTAACCTGTGTCCAAATGTGCTTCGTCATGATTCCACGTAATGTAAGATTAAGTTCGGTTTTCTATTTTCTATTTGAGAAATGTAATAATTGACTGAGTGGAGTGCGTGTATAAAGGGGACACTCTGCAATCTGGCACCGGCACAAAATGCAATAAGGAGATAAAGCAAAAAAATAATAACAAATGGGTTTTTGGAGTTGCAAAGTTTAGCCCCAAAAGTCATACCATCACAATTACAGCAGTAAATCAATCACTCAATGCCTTCAGTAGAATTGGTTTTTAATGTTTTTTTTTAATAGATAGAAAAATACTGTTCAAGATACCATATCATCACTACTGCTTTTCAGATTGAACATCCCAAAATGGCACCTGTACACTCTGAAAATACTAGAATACTAATAATAATACTATAGTAAAAATATATTTGAGGCTACTACTGCTATATAGTTTTTCAAAATGAACTTTCTCGAGCATGATTTCACTACTGCTGCTCAAATGTAAATATTATTTGCTAAAGAAACACCAATAATCTGAATGAAATAATCCATGGTGCTACCAGAGTCTCCCCTTTCCCCTTGTCCTTTGTATGTCCCATGTTTTACAGTGCTGCTTTGGTGACAAACGTGCGAAGAGAGAAAGCACAAAGTAGACGATTACTATTATTAATATTCTTATGTATTTATGTGCAAAGATAAGCTGAACTCTTGTGGTGGAATTTATTTTTCTTATGTCTCCTGTGTACGTTCTGCTGAAGAGGACTTTTGGTTTTGAAAGAGTCCGGACACTTCCTGTTGACGCACCCTTGTGAATGAGTAAAGTGAGTGAGTGAGTGAGTGAACGAGTGAGTGATTTTGGGGGAAATACAGATGTACATATTTGGTGACAGGTCAACGGTGAATGGTTGTGGTGCACTGTACAAAATCTTTGTGAATCGTGTCTCATGTTTTGGATTAACACAATAAAATATGCATTTACGTTACACTGGTCCCTTTGTTTCAGAGGTGAACGTGTGATTGATGGAGCTGAAGGATTGTTCTTAAAATACAGCTATGGGATGGTATTAAAACAGGAATTCTTCACGTTTTGGTTCCATAAATGATACGTATTTTCGCAACAGAAAGAGTCTTGTAAAAATACTAAAATGCAAATGAAAACTAGTGATAAAGAACCAATCTGTTTTTAGATCAAAGAACCGTTCAAAATGATGTTATCACATAATTCCATTGCTTGCTGTTTGAAAGTTAGGCACCCCAGCTTTAAATGTGTAATTATTAGCCATATCTGGAATATTTTTAAGGTTTCTCAAGTCAGAAAAATTGTAGCAACTTGTTTGTGTAATAATTACTAATCCATCTCAACATGATTCATACAAATGACAAATACAACCAAAAAATAATCTTATACTATATTTTGAGCACTAAAATTACATTGACCAATCCTGGGTGAATAAAATACATTACAAAAAATATATATACACTCATAGTTATCAAGACAAAAGTTGTATTATTGTTCCTTCTTGTTACCCTCTAATCTCATACCTCAACTAAAAAAAGAAAGTGAGGCAAGTTCACGGTTCAACAAACACCAGCATGCCGTGTGATAATAAATAAAGTTTTATTGAATATATTTGTAGTCTGTAAATATCTGTGGTACATGTATTAAACAGTATTTATCACATGAACACAAACATCTCAGTGGTTCTTACTGGACTGGTTCAAGTCTGGCTCTCGTGTCGATGACCTAAGTGCTTTTCGCGAATGGAAGAGACGCTTTTATTGTGTCTGGAGCTATCCCAGCATGCATCGCAGTATATTGCGGGAGACTTTGGTTAAAATCGAGCGAGTTTTACAAAAGCAACCACAATTCGAGTTCATAGTAATATTAATAATAACTGTACATCATTAAAATACTGACCACAGAACGTACATTCAACACGCACCCAGTCACTGATTCGTAATTCTTGCACTTGAACTAATACCTTCATTTACACAGGAAACGGCAACAGCCCGAGGAGGGACCGCTACACTGGTTCTGTGGAGAATGTGGACGGCTGACAACTATATTTTTAAGAGTACAAAATACATTCAAAAGATATAACCTGGCTATTCTGAATCTGTGTACTGTAGAATTTAAAGTCAGGTTAAGGTATATTCTGATGTCCCCGCAGGGAAATTTGTCCTCTGCATTTGACCCATCCTTCAATGCCACTAAAGCAACTTGATACATCAGATAAGTTCGTCTTGGTCAGGACTCAGGACTTACAATCATTGGAGGATTTGACCTCTAATGCATGTTTTAGGGTCCAAATTTGTTGCTCAATTTGTTTTATTTTCCAGAACAAATGCACATGTGCAAAATATAGAAATCAGATAAATAATGAAACATTTTGATTTTTTTTTGAGTGCCACTTTTCCCACACCTCAAGACAGGACTATTCAGTTTCATTTTCTCCAGGGCCAGATTTGTAGAATACCATCATCATAGGACGGCAAAAATACCAAAAGGACATAGCAAGACTGTTTCAAGTGTAGTTTGGAAAGCATCTAAAATACTTGGTTCAACGTAGAAGTCAACATCGCGGTCTAAAGTTTGAATTGAAGTGAACCAGTTCCAAATTCACCTAAGCCTGGACTAACTTCCAGAATTGAAGGAGCAAATATTACCAAATCAGGATGAAACCAAAACTGTGACTAAACCAAGAAAAAAAATGTATTTTTTTGTATTTGGAAGATGGGTCCTGGGCCAGATCAGACTGTTTGGCAGGTCTAATTTGTTTTATTAATTGAATGTAAATGAGTTTGACAGTGAATCTAAGAAGTCACTGTAAAACTCAGGTCAGCACAGATGTACACAACTAAAGATTATGTCCACGATCCACACACACCACTGTAACAATCCCACACTTCCCTCCGTTCATATCCGCCTCCTTTCTCCCACATTGAATGAAAAAGTTCACAGCTATTTTCTCCATTGACTGTATAAACGCTGTATACATAAAAATATCAGATTCACAGCTGAATAAATGCCTCGAGAGTCTACAGTTTTAAATAGTTGATTTTGTCTATTGCTAAAGTCCTCCACGAATTCAACTTCACATCGGCCACGACAGCAAACAGTAAAAAAAAAAAAAAAAAATTAGGAATTCAGATTAAAGTGAACCTGAAAAGAGGCCTGGAACACTGAGATGCTGTTAGTTTTACAATCATAAACAAAACAATATAAGGGTGAAGAAATGAGACTAGTGGCTTGTTTTTAAAGCATTGGAAAGAGACTGTTTGAATTCAATAAACTTACCTTAACAAGTATGTATACGCCAAAGCTTACTCAAAACCAAAATTAAGAAATAATCTTTGTTTAAGGACAATTCTCGAACTCAAAATATGCGAGGAGTTCATATTTCCCCTCCCTGCTGTGACTAGTCTCAATACAACACTTTAAAAATCTTGAAAAAAAGGACTATTGCATCAGAAAACGTATAAAAACAACAAGTATGTCACTAAAAGTTAAACCATTCACAAACTAAATAATACATTCATTTAGACTGTAAAACTACTTCAGTTATTGTCCTCCATATAAATAAATAGATTTGTTGAATTGTCCTCAGCAGAAAGTTATTGTAAATACGTCTGTTTTACACATAGGCCAGTGTTCGAGACATGCACAGTAACAGTCTATGGCTTCTCCACGGCAACAGTCTCTGCGGTGACGGAAAAGTCCATTCAAATCTGGCCAGATCCGGTCAAGTACGGAGTTGCGATCGTGTTTGTGCGATGGAACGGACTTAATCTGCTTCTGGCTTGATGAGAGGAAGAGCAGCTCCTCGCGGTGCAGTGGGTGACGGCTGCTTCGGCTATGTCCACTTATATTTAGGTGCAAATACATTCACAGTGACCAATTAGCTCTGTGCTGCTGTGTTGTTTACATAACTATACTTGGACAGAGAGAGATTATTTTAAAAAAAGGTGCAATGCGCAACTTTTTCTGGTGCAAATTTGCTTGTATTACTCTAGTGAGGGAAGAATTTTGTTTAAATGAGAACTGGTTTAAAATACAGACGATACATTCATACCTATTCATTTTCAGTGGAGGGTTTGTTCCTATTTGCAACTTTATATTAGGGAGGGATCTTGACCAAATGACTAAATGACCAAACCTTTGTGGAATAAGATATTTTCTTCTGGTAGATTTTTCTGAACAAAATGAGTTCTTGCTTGGATTGAACAAAAAAGTAAGGAGGGATTGTCTTTGCCATTTGCTAGTCCAATTGTTATTAATATTTGATTTAACCATCACTAATTGTGTTTGGGCTTCAATATTTAGAACAAATTCAATTACATGTTTTTATCTTGAAAACCGAACACCCTTTAAGCGCTCAAGCAGCAGAATTCACACTAAAAAGGGTCTCACATTTGTCCTACAAGCCGCATGCTGAATGTCTAGATGTGTCTAAATGTTGTAATTTCGCCTGGAATTTACCACAATTTGGTATTCAAACTTTGTAATCATAGGAAATCCCCGTATAGGAAGAGACGATCCAATGTTAGAATTCAGGTTATTGGGAAAACATAATAAAATGTAGTTTTGGGTCACACTGGGGAACATTCATAATATCATGAGGCAATAAGCTTTAGCAAAAAAAAAACATTCACGATGCAACTTTGAAAGCACCTTCCAAAATACATGTTGATAATAATAATACATAAATGAATGAATCTATTGCTTTACAAAGTGGACATAGCCTTAACAGAATCCAGGCTGTGGTTGAACTCCAGGTTTTCCAGCGCTTCCCTTCGGCTTTTGCGATAATTATTCTGGAAGACGTGTGCCTCGGATCCACTGGCTCCTGTATCGTTGTGTAAAGAAGAATGGCTGCTCCTACACGGCTCGTTATTGCATCTAAAACTGTCGCCGTGAGATGGAAATGCACAAAACATTTCACTCCGAAAGGTTTAGGAGATTCTGAATCCAGCGCGGCTCAAACAATAACATTTTATAACAGTCTGAGAAGAGGAAAACTTCCCTTTGTTTGTCCTGAAAGTGTGGAGACGTCAGAAGAGGAGACTGCGGCGATGAGAGGGGCTGACCTGGCCCACTGCAGAGACAGACACAAACATTTATCTATGAAAATATTTATTCAAGTGTCATTTTCAAGCATTTCATCAAGTAATACAAATCACAGATTGGATTACCCAGCTTAAGTGTAGAGGTAAATTTGTTAAGTGGCTTGTAGGGCTGGATGATGTGAACAAAAATACATCTATATACATTTCTCAGGCGATATTCTGTCAATCCTACAAAAGCACATGATCTTCAAAACCCATTTGTTTCCTTGTTGTAAATGTGCTGTACAAAAATATGACCTGGGCCTTTAAGGTGAAGTGTCATTTTTAAAACAATGTATATTTCTGACCAAGCTGACAACAGATAAAGCAATGACAAGGGGCCTCAAGAATGTGAATGTTTTTTGACCAATCCAGAAGCTGCGGGGGTGGGACTGGGCAGGTCTGTTTGTCTAAAAAGGTTCACTCTCTCTTCACAATTTGAAAAGTAACTTCAAGGATCAGTCATTTGTGAAACGACTGTAAAATGCCATCAAAGTTTGTCTTCATTCATTCATTCATTCATTCATTCATTCATTCATTCATTCATAAGTTGCAAATGCTTATTTTAAAACCACATGCACAGTATCCTGGACTAAACAGACCTTTTAGGGCAAAAGCAGTGGATTTATAATACAAAAATGGAGAATTTCACATTTTTATCAATACATGATTTTATTTGTATTTTCACTCCATCTGCTTACAGTCACCATATTTTAAAAGCTTTTCCAAGTGTAAGTGACGTAATGGTCTGTACCTGGTTCCACTGAAGCGGGCGGTCGTATCAACTCTTTCTCCAACTGGATTTCTGTGATACTGAAGATCGACGTTGCTGAAGACAAAAGAAAACACTTTTTAAAAACCTGAGTCTTATAGAGTTTGATCTGTGGAATAATACAAAATGTAGATGTTTTTTTAGCTCATGACTGTTGGCACATTGGCACATTTTAATTGCTTGGGATTTCACATTCTTATTTAATGGAAGTAATCTTTATTAATTTTAATATAATTCTGATACATTTCCATACTCGATATTTAAAATGGCACAGTCCATTTTAACTCAATGCGTTAAACAAAAACTGAAAATAACTTATTTCAGATTCAGTTTTTTTGCATCACATTTACAAAACAAATTTCATCTGAAAAGGCTACAAAACTGCATCACTAACAAAAATATAGTTAAAAGTAATAAACAGATTTTTCGGGCAAAATACAGCCAACCACAATACTCAAAATTGTATCACGATATTTACATATATTTTCACACCGAGACACTAATTATGACATTATAATAGCAGACATTAATTCAAAAGTTGTGAAAAAGGAAATCCCAAAGCACTCATGATAATAGTATAAGTTTGGATACCTGCTCCTCTCAGGTCCATAAAATCACATGTGGTGTGCCCCAGGGTTCCATTTTAGGTCCAGTCCTTTTTAACCTGTACATGCTCCCTCTTGGCGGTGTCGTCAGGAGACATGGAATTAACTTCCACAGTTATGCAGATGATACACAGCTGTACATCTCCATGTCTCCTGATGACACCAGGCCAATGGATGCTCTTTTTAACTGCATTTTAGACCTGAAATCCTGGATGGCAGAAAACTTTCTCCAGCTTAACCAGGACAAAACTGAGGTTTTAGTCATCGGTCCTGAGGCCCAGAGAGAGAAACTTTTATCAAAACTCCAATCACACTCTTTTAATCCATCATCACAAGTGAAAAATCTGGGCGTAATCTTTGACTCTGAGCTGACTTTTATTCCTCACATCAAGAGTATCACAAAAATAGGTTTTTATCATCTAAAGAACATCGCCAGAGTCCGCCCCATTCTCTCTCGGGGCAACACGGAGACGCTGATGCATGCTTTTATCACCAGTCGCATTGACTATTGTAATGCCCTGCTCTCTGGTCTTCCCAAAAAGAACATTGCAAGTCTTCAATTACTCCAAAACTCGGCCGCACGTGTCCTGACTAAGACCAGGGGGCGGGACCACATTACACCGGTTTTAAAATCGCTGCATTGGCTCCCCGTGTGTTTCAGAATCGATTTTAAGGTTCTTTTAATGGTTTTTAAATGTCTTAATGGTCTTGGGCCTTCTTATCTTTCAGATTTGCTTTTATCCTATGAACCTTCCCGGCCCCTGCGCTCCTCCGGCAGCAGACTCCTAACCATCCCCAAAGTCAGGACACACACTCACGGCGAGGCATCTTTCCAGCACTACGGCCCCCGTCTCTGGAACAGTCTGCCGGAGGAGCTCAGGGCCGCAGAGAACGTTCATATTTTTAAGAGTAGGCTCAAGACGCACCTTTTTAGAGTAGCTTTTGATTAGTTTTTATTATTCCATTCTATTTATCTTTTATTATTTATTATTTATTATATTGCTATTGCTATTATTCATGTATTGTGTGTTCCTTTTAGTCTCACATTTTAGTGTTTTACTTATTGTATTGTTTTTAGTGTACCCAGTGTTTCCTCTGGAGGAGCCCTCTGCACCGGGAGCAGTGGTCTGTGTGGCTGCGGGGGTCGGACTCTTGGGCCTGGTGGGGGCCTGGGGCCTCGGTTTCATGTCTCCTCTGGGTCCTGTATTGTCCCCTGTGGCTACGGGCGGCTCTCTGCTCCTGGTGCAGACGGCTCCTTGGATGACGCTTTTTCAGCTGGTTGCATCTGAACCCTGCCAAGTCTCTCATCATGTTTTTATTGTTTTACTGGTGTGTGTGTGTGTGTGTGTGTGTGTGTGTATGAGTGTTCATGAGCGCGTGTGTGTGTGTTTGTCTGTGGTTTGGGGGGGGTCTGTTGGGTGGTCTGGGGGAGGGGTCTTGGGTCGGCGGGATTGTTTTTAACCAATCTGTAAAGCACTTTGTGTTGCATCTTATGTATGAAAAGCGCTTTATAAATAAAATTTGATTGATTGATTGATTGAAGTGTAGTATTCAATAAAAGTAAACAAAGTATGAATTCCACACAGTATCTGCGCGTGTCTTACTGTCGGGCAGCGTGAGCACCTTCCGCCCGAGCGCGCTGAAGTACGAGTGACTCATGGCCTCGTCGGCTGAAACGCGCCTCTTCCCCTGGAACTGCACCGACGCACAAAACCAAAATATCACAGATTCCATGTGTTACAGACAAAGACACGAACGCTTTAAAATGATCCGAGAGTGGCTTAACCTAAAGCTGGAGGCGTTCACTGACCTGTAGGAATTTAGACAAAAGCTCCACTCCATCGCTGCTCAGTCTGGAGAGGCAGAGAGAGAACAAGCATCAGGACTGGGATGGGAACGCATTTTAAAACTATCAACTTCTCCTGTGTATATTAGTTTAACAATTGTTTTTATATAAATTGGCTTTACAAAGTGATCTCTATGGCCAAGATTTTTAACTACATTGTTAACCTTTATCACAAGGGCCCAAAACAAAACCAATTTGATCATTAAACTCAATAGGGAAAGAGAACTGGTATTCAAAAATGAAAAACCCTGAATTCTAAAAGATTTCTAATTTCCTGATAATGCTTCATCTTTAATCAATATGCTGAGCACGTGCATCGGCGAGTGGTATGTGGGATTTGCTTTTTTATTATTGCATTTTCGGTGTTCAAAAATAAAAGGGATTGAATTGCATTTATTGATTCATATCCTCCCAGAACTGAATCCTGGTGATTTATGAACAAAACAAAAAGAACAATGACCAGGGACAGTGGAAACAAATGCGCAATGATAATGATCGATAGTTTATTTTTTAGATAATTTGAAAATATTAGAACAATGCAATTTTGGAGCGCTCACTGCATCACAGAAATCACTGAACATTGAGGAAGTAGATGTGAAGCATTCTGATTATGATTCCGTAAGTCGTCATCAAGGAAATAACTAAATCAGGCGTCTCCAACCTTTTTCAACGATACTTCTTTTTTCAAGAGCTACTCCCTTCTTTTACCCCACCTCTGTGCTGTTGCATTTTTTACTATTAGCTACTTTTAGAATGAGCTATTTTTCTGTTTTGTTTGTATGGATGGATGCGTTTCTGCTGCTACTGGACACCTGATTTCTCCTAAAGGGGATCAATACAGTATCTATCTACTTCTTCTGTGGTCATAATGAAAGTGTGGGATACAACCATGAAACATATACTGTACATTTATACTGTTTAACCTTCCATTTGTGCACATAAGGCAAACACTATGAGATATGAAATGATTCAAAGTTGAAATAGCCTCATGTGTTAAAATCCTGAATCCTGGGGAGCTCCCTGAAAGTGCATGGCAAGCTACTGATGGCTCCCAAACTATTGGTTGGAGACCCCTGGTTTAAATCATTTTAAGGTCAACCGCCAAACTTTCTCTACAAATATAGTATAGTGTGATTATCATTATGGAAAAACGACAAAAAGGATGAAGGCGTTCATTTAGCACACCCAGAGCTGAGGCTGTAAAGTGCGCACCTGGGCGTGTGGTTGCTGAGCCGCTCTCCTCTGTACTGTGGATAGTTATAGGCTACAAACTCGTCGTTAGCGCTGATCCCAGGCCAGCTCTGCTCCGTGGGCGTCCCTGGAAAAACAGACAGAGCGATGAGGTCAGTCACTGCAGAGGTGGGACGATCGCTGTGCAAATGAAAACTGATATTGCACCGTTCAGAGAAGCTTCGACTCAGATGGCGCCGATGAAAGACGGGAAGATTGTCAAAGTCATGCACGTTCTAGAGCTTCTTTGTTACGATGTAAAGCAGATTGGCGTTATGTCACTATCAGTACAGTTCAAGAGGGAATCCTTTTATGTAACGCCATTTTCCCAGCGCGTTTAGTCCAGCAGGAAAAGGGAAGAGGATCCGAGGCACTCTATTTTTAAAAGTCCTTTAATGAATTATGGAACAAACTGCTGCATTTCCACGTCTTGGGTCTTTCTCAAGCAATGACAACAGGCGAGCTTAAATAGTGTCATAGAAGATAAATGCCACAATGGACCAGAAAGTAAACCATATACAAACATATTATATATCAATAAACATTAAGCATGAAAAGGTGAAACAAGGAAACTATAAATTTAGATTATTGATTAAAAAATGAAAATAAAATGATACTAGATCTTTCGCTGGTAAATCTGAATTGAAGTAGGCCTAAGTTTGTAATGCCTCCCCAAATGGAATAAACAAGATTTACAAAAAAAAACATTCTTCATTGATGCCCACAGATGATGTAGCCCTTTTTTATTTGAGCAGTTTGCATCTTAGACACTTTAATCTAAAGAGTGAACTTTAGCTTCATTTAAAATGTATGTGCTTACGTAAGTCGCAAATCTACGGAGACAGTTTGATTCTGTGCAGCACTAGTCTACCCAAAGTTTGCAACATTCTCTGGAGATAGATACATGGTATACAATGCAGTGGACAATTGTGGCTTAGCTCATATCATTTCCATGGGAAGAAGAAAAAATACGTTGTCAAGTTTGAGTGCATGCAAGACCACTCACAGTAAAGGTGCATTTCTATACATCCAACACTGAAAAGGCTTTAATTTACTCTAACAGAGTGCAAATAAACCATTCCTTGTGAAAAATACATGTTTCAAAAAGGTGATGCTTTTACCTAATAGTTTGAATATGAAGTGCAGCTCCTCCTCCACTGTGGATCCAGGGAACAGAGGTCGTCCAGTGGCCATCTCATAAAAGATACAGCCCACACCCCTGCGACACAGACAACACAAATGGAACAGCTCTTATCGAAATACAGAGAAGATGGGAATTAGCGCGATAGTGTAGCTGCTTACAAGGGTGTCAAACCGGTTCCAGAAAGGGCCAGTGAGGCTACAAGTATAAGTTCCAACCATAGACTGTATATATTAACGGACAGAGTCACACCTATCTCCGCCGTTCTAATTAATGGGTCAAAAAATATGCCCTACTGGAGCAATCCAAAATGGCAGTGAGTGGTCCCGCCCACAAGAAAATTGTGAAAAAACGCATCTGCGCATGCGTCAGCCGGCGCAACTCCATTCATTTGAACTAGAGACTTCAAAAATTCACAGCAAGTAAACTAGAATGGACCAAAAAAATTCACCCCCCTCAGCATTGACACACATGTGGAACGGAGCTTTGGGCCAAGAGCCAACTTTTGGTCCATCCTGTAAAGACGTTTTCGAGAGGTCTGCCAATGCTATATGTTAGCATTGGCTAATTCTACTTCTGGGTCCACCCCCATCGGCCCGGGGTGGTATTGCAAGCATGTCAGCGCACGTCATTTTGGCCACTTTTGAGCTGGGACCCGCCCCCACTGGTTCCAACCCGAGCAGTAGCACACCAGACTCCAACCACTTCCTCAAATCTTCAGGTTAAAACTGGACTCAGCTGAAGAAATGGGTAAAGTCTGGTGTGCTCTTTCTAAGGTTGGAACTAAAACCTATAGCCACACCGGCCCTTTGACACCCCTGCATGATGATGTACTGAAGAAAGATTCAAAAAGCCCAGAAACAAAGAGTTGATTTGCTCTTAAACGTGACTGACCACATGTCGATGTGAGTGGAGTAGTCGGTGCTTCCCAGCAGAATGTCCGGAGGCCTGTACCAGAGCGTCACCACTTCATTAGAGTATGTTTTAGTGGGAATAGACTTTGCTCGCGCCAAACCTTTAGAAAAAGAAGACAATAATAAAGACTTTCTACTCATGTGTATAAATGTCTGTATATCTGTGTGTAAATGTCATACCAAAGTCTGCGAGTTTGAGCTCCCCTTTGTCGTTGATTAGCAGGTTTTGTGGTTTTAAATCCCTGTGCAGGACTTTTCTGTGATGGCAGTAGGAGAGGCCTCTGAGCAGCTGGAACAGGAAGAGCTGCAGGAGAGAGAGCGCTTCAATGAGAACTCGTCTTTTCTGACACTAAAACAACAAAAGACCACCGTCGTTTCTGTTTGGCCTTTGAATTCACCTTCTCAAACGTTCAACATTTACAGCTGTTATCTTTCAACAATAAAAGGAATGCGGAGCGCTCCCTGGAGAAACACGCAAGCTGTGTTCAGTCTTTGAAGAGAGGAGCATTTTGTGAAGGCTTTTGACTAAACAGGGATGCCACAAACACGCTCGCTCTGAAGAGAATGTTTAGTTTAACTATCAAAGTAAGAAATTAGTCACCATAGTCTTCAAATGGACTATAGAAAACCTAAACACATTTATTATGAGTGAGCAAGCAGTTCTTACTTTGACATTATGGACATGGATGGAGTTTCCGCAATCGTCCAAGTACTGCTTCAGGTCTTTATCCTAAGAAAAAAAAAGTAAGATTGATTTAGAATGATCCATCTTACTCTTATAGGACTGTGCACACAAAACTTATGCTGATCAGGTGGAGAGACGACGACGAAGACATAAAAGATGAAACAACGGAGCCTTACCAAATACTCAAATACGAGGGTCAGGGATTTCTGGGTGTGGATGATGTCGTGGAGTGTGACGATGTTGGCGTGTTTGAGATCCTTCAGAAGAGAGACTACAAATACACAAGAGAGACATTAGATGTTAGTCTCTACAAGCAATAAGTTTAGAAAAAGTAAATTTTCATGATTACGATATTATTATTTGTTTAAATGCTATGTGGGCAACCTTTGTGCGCCTAATACAAATACTGTCAATAAAAATAAATGATAAAAGAACTGCATCGTGCCTTCTCTGATCGCAGTGCAGGGAGCTCCTTCCTCGTGCTCCAGACGTATTTCCTTCAAAGCCACCAGGTTCTCAGTCAGTTTGCTCCTCCCTTTGTACACAGTGGCATAAGTTCCCTTGAAAATGGAACAATTTGTGATTTGTTATTGTTTTAATCCTGTGAAATAGATAGAGTATAGATATAGATATGGAGTTACTAATATCCTCACCTCTCCCAGTTTGTCCAGTTTAATGTAAGTCTCCAGTTTCCCAAAACCTATTTCTGACTAAAGATTTAAAAAGGGACATGGTTAAAAAATTCAAAAAATATAATTTTACAAATTGAAATGTACCAGTGAGACTCTGCGGAGCCGCCTGCTGATTGGTTGATCAAATAGTCCCGGACCAATCATACTGAACTTCTCCAGGTAGCCATCAGGAAGACGAATGTCGGCCGGAAGAGAGAGGCGCTTGTTTATGTCCTAGAAGAAGAAGACATCATAATGACATGAACAGGTGAAACTCGGAAAATTAGAATATCATGCAAGAGACATATGCCACTCCTTTGTTGGTTAAAACCTTCATGAGTATGGCCAACAGTCCAATTTTCTAAATATTCTACATTTATTTGGGGTTCAAACAATGAAACATATTAACAATCAGCTCTTTTATCTCACTTTGCGTGTAATAACTCTCCTCTAATAGTTTCACATAGTAACTTGAATAACAGTAAGTTAATGTCTACTGTGTGGACTTAGTGTGCAGTTGTATAAAGTAGACCTTTTAAGAAATCTTATGCAGGCCTTTAATGCCTTGTTGTTTCTAGCTTGTTTCGTTCAGCCCTTAGAGTTGCCTTGTGTATGAACTGTGCTACACAAATAAACGCCATGCCTTACCATGCCTTTATATCTATAATTTACTTCTATAACTTGTAAGCACCATGAGCCAAAGCAAAACCCTAGTTTGTTAATACAAATGGAAATACAATTCAGATTGTTTTCCAAGGTTCACCTGTATATAACATTCCTTACTTGGCTTTGACATCTGCCAAAGGGTCTACCGATGAAAATTAGCTTTTCTGCTAACTCGGGCATATTTACATTGTAAAATGTTGATTAATGTGCACTGTCCCTTTTCAAATAAAAAAAATAAATTAAAAAAACTTGCTTCTACCTGCTTTTTAGTGAGAATCTATGACTCATTCTGCAATTTGCTCAAAATGTGGTCACGTCGAAGGAGTTGTCACACTGCACGTCAGAGATTTTTTTTTCTTCCAAGCAAAAGTTTGGTTGGAAGCTGCACTGCCAAGTCATCCACGTACATCATGGATTCCAAAAATTGTTGACAAAGTGCGAAAGAGAGCCAGATGAAGTGTAGTGATCGTCTATACTGCTTGTTTAATTACATGCACAAAGGTGATGTTTTATGCTTCCCCTGTAAATCATTAAATATCACAAAGGCTTTTATGTGTGCACCTCTCTGGAGATCTTCTTGTTCCTGAGGCGCACTCGGACTGGACTCTGCTGGACCTCGTCAGCAGAAGACACCGGGTCGCTCTCTCCATCTGAGCTCATCTTCACATCCTCATGGACTATTTCTGCACACACCAGAACCACCAGATTATCTATTGTTCCTTCACAATTCTATAACAAGAAGTAGAAAATATTAAGTAGTAATACATTTCTGATGTGCTCTCCTATCATGATCGGTTAAGCTTTAAAAGTCAATTTCTTGTCTTTGTTTGTCTTGAGTTTGACAAATATGGGAAGAACCGGATTGACAACAAAGATGGTGGATATGGAATGAGGAGGGAGCTTAAGACCACAGTTTAAAGACCACAAACTTCACATTCTGATACAGGGGAAGGTGGTCAGAAGGATGCATTCTTTAAAACATGAACTAGATATGAATTTACAAACATTCTCTTTAAATTAAATACAGTTGTGTTTTAAAGCTTACACACCCCGTCATAGATCATTGTTTTAGCCATATTTTTGTAAAACACATTTTCTTTTCACACGTATTGAGTGATTGTGTGAGTATTGCCCAAAAACGTGTTTTCTATTTTCAAATTATAACACCATTGAGTCAATATATGGGGAACTCAAATGTGCAGTTCATGCAAGGCTGCCCGGGAATTTAAAGGAACTAAAGGTTTTTTTGCCAAGAAGGATGGGGTAGCTTTATTATCGGAAAGGATAAAAAGTCTCACCCACAACTACCACAAAACACTCTAAGCTGTCATTGATATCAAGGGTGGCAATACACTCCATTGCGTATTTGACGATAAATGGCTTCCAGACCAATGAGTGGTTGTGACTTTAAAGCACAACTGTACTTGCGTGAACATAGCTTTTGATCTGTCTAAATGATTGATGCTTTAATACCGAGCCGTGTGGTGTGGTTGAGGTAGGAGCTCAGACTTCTCCCCAGTCCTCGCGGTCTCCTCAGAGAGCTGCTGTACGACTGAAGCAGAGCCTGCACCTTCCCACCTGAGGAGCTGGCCCCGCCCCCTGCATTGCCACGCCCCTTCACAGCTGAGGACGAGCTGGTTCCGCCCCCTCCACTGCCACCAAGCCCCCTGGCACCCGAAGAGGAGCGCATTGAGCCCACCTCTGGGACCCACACAGGTGAGGGACAGGTGAGGGGCAGGGGAAAGAACAAGTGCGAAGGGAAGGCAATGATTGGTTGATTTGGAAGAAAAGAAAGGAAAAAACAACAAAGGTTAATTGATTGATTGATAGCCGAGCGGACAGATCTATGTGTCCGATCCAAACAACCAATCAGATTAAAGACAGGGAATCATGCAGCATGCTTAACTCATGCATGTATCAGGAAAACAAATCTGAAGCAAACTTTCTGACAATGAGGGATCCAAAACTAGCACAAAAATAAGAATCTAGATGAATGTACAATGCTTCTCGTCAAAACATCAGCTGTAGTGGATGTTTCATAGATTTAAATATGGTTTTAGTTAGGCTGAAACCGCGGGTGAAAGAAAACACCCCAACATCTCACACATATCATATGCTGACTCCAACTTCCTTGAGTGTTTGGCTGCACCAGACTTCAAAAATGCTGAAAACCAACGAGCTCTGTTCCACTGAGCTCGGGGCACTGCGAGTTGAGAGTGTGATGTGAGATGTGTGCCAGTTGTGTGCCTGGCACACTCCACCTCTGCTGCTGTGACCAGTCCTGCACCTCCTGGTGGATGTTCCACCTCTGTTGCTGTGACCTTATTACTATTGTTAGCAACTTTTAGAATGTAGTTATTTGTTTTTTTCAGTATGTTTGGATGTGTTCCTGCTGCTACTGGACACCTGAATTTCTCCTATGGGGATCAATAAAGTATCTATCTAAGAACTAACCATAACCACACTTCTTATCATAATAGACCTCAGAGAACCTTGGGCCCTTCTCACCCGCCACAGGACCCACAAGCTTTCCATTACTACACAAGTCAGGGAGCACCACCCTCAGACCATTGAGGTCTAGCCAAAGCCTCTTGTCATGTTCAGGCTTTATCTCTTCTTAAGCACAGGACTAATGTTTTTCAGGACAGTAGAAATTCTAAATCCTCAGACCTGAATCTTCAGATTGAAAATGTCAGTTGATTTTCAAATTTCAAAGACATTATTAAAAGACATGGACCAGTCCCAGACAAATAAGAATTTCTGACAATATGAGCGGTTAAATAATCGATATCTCTGATTCTCACATTCATGGTTTATTTGTGTTCGTCTGGCCTCATTGTTTTGGAATATTTACCTGAATCGCTGTGAGACGTTACATCCTGGTTCACCTCAGTAAGTGTCCTGTCTCCACCCCCAGCCCCGCCCCTCCCCAGAGTGAGTGAGAGCTGCCGCTTGATCTTCCTCACCCGCTCCATGAGGGGGGGCAGGGGGGGCCGTGCTGAGGAGGAGGGAGGGGCAGCCAGGCCGGACTGCACACCTGAATATATGGGGGTCACAAACAGGTCATTGGCCATTTACAGGTAATGAAAGAGACATATGCAGGCATGAGGGAGTTCAAAGAGAGACAGAGGGGTAGAACAACATTATTCACCTGTACAATAAACATAGTCTCCACTCTTTTAGGTAGTAATCAGCCTGTTCACCTGCCTCTCTCAGTACAACACTGTTAACTGCAGGTTTATGCACTTAAATACTGAGACTACGGTGAAACAATTAAATAATCTTTCAAATAGAATACAAATCACAATAGCAAACTTCACCAAATTGTTGTCTTGCCCATAGCAAAGTAGAAAAAATATTCAAACATTAATTGGTTAAGCACTGATTACAGATTGATCAAAAGGCTCAAATGTCTAATAAAACTATACAACATTCTTTGCTGTTCAGTAATTAAATCAGGGGTTTCCGTATTAGCAGACCTCTTTAGTATTCCCAGAAGACTTTGGATATACAATAGCCAGGCATTCACTGGTTACATCTAGCCTCTTTTTCCCATGAGGCTTCACCTTATTATAGATCCATGGGCTTCACTAATGGTTGTGAACTATTGACTTCCCACAAAACAATTGTGTCCAATCCTGACCCAGTGACTGCTCTCACCCACAGCATATAAACACGTACAAGCCGAGGAAAGTCTAAAAATAATAATAATAATAATAATAATAGTCGTAGTTATCATTATTTGACATTCGCGTGAACATACAGCAGATGACGGACGCGGCTCACACTTCTGACACTGATGACATTTCCACGTCTCTTTTCACATGTAGATAAAACATGTAACTATCGAACTCTGCACTAGCTTGGACATAAGGTTAAGTTATCTCCGTGGATGTTCTGACAGCTAACAGGCTAACACACATTAGCTCATCGCCCTGACAGCTGCTCCTCTGACATCACTGGATAAGTCCTGCCGTGGAGTGAGGAGCTGACGGAGGGAGCAGGGCCCGTCTCCTTCCCGCAGCTCGGTTATAAATAGCCCGTGAGGAGGAGCGGCTACAGCCCGAACCTGCTGCTGTTCACGAACCAAACCCCCGCGAATCCAGCTGCCACTCTCCGCCCCCCCTCCTCCATCTGAACACGGTGCCCCGCGGTCCGCAGCACTCACCGGGGAGATTGGTCCCAGTCCGGCCGCTCGGGTCTTTGGCTCGGTTCAGTGTGACAGCGGCTCTTCTCCCTGAGGCTCCCAGTAATCTGCAGCCATGTTGCCGCTGTGCCCCGCCCCCGGTGCGCCCTACACATCCTCCACCACTGCGTCCGGGGTTCCATGAATAAACAATAACATGGTAATAATAAAAATAAAAATAAAACAGTAATTTAATAAACACGAGAAAATTGTTGCGCATTTTTTATTTAAACTATTGGCAAATTAAAGTGTCCAAAAAGGGATACAACCGAAGCATTATTATTTACCCTAAAAACAACTACATTATAACGTTAATGATATAGTTGTTAGTCATGTTACCATAAATCAATTATAATATATATTGTGCACCTTTATTTTTGTGCAAAACTTACTTCAGACAGCATTTGTTGCGAGACATTGAGATTTTGTATTATTATTTCATACATTACATTTAATTGTGAGTCATTAAAGTTTGGACAACCAAATCTTAGTAAATTCATTTACTTTGTAAGTCAATTGATAAACTATAACAATAAAGACCAGGCAGCACAGTGGCTGAGTGGAGAGCACTCATGCTTCAAAATCGTGGGTTTTCATGTCTCTTCCCGTGTTTCCCTCACCCAATAACTATGATTTATTAGAGTTAAAGATCTTGGCAAGCAGTGAAACATTTGATTGGCTCTTCTGCTGTATGAGGCGGGACTTGTCCGTTTGTTTCTGTGAAAATGAGTCCTTATTTTTCCTCTTCTTTCGGTTCTGAATTTCCTCTTCAGTTTGACGCTGAGTGAAGTCCCACGTTCTCTCCTCCTCCTGAAAATTTGTGGAAAGATACTGTAAACAAACCTGCACATAATTACATTTAAATTAAGATATTTTGAATAATTGTACCTGTTGTCCATCCCTCTGTCTCTTCTTCCTCTGGCGTTCCATCCTCTCTGCCTTATCCACGTTGCTGAGGTAAAAGTTAGTTTCTCTTTTGACCTGAGACACTTCAGTTCTGAGTCTCTGCTGAAGTACTGTCTGTTCATAGGCCAAACGCTCGCTCAGATGAGTCCACTGGAAACGATGCAGGTACTGAAGGCAGAAGGAGTGTTACAAAAGCAGTTCCTCAAAGAAAAAAGGTATATCCCACCATTATTTATTGTGATTTATTATTGATAAGACAAAAATATAGTTTTCAGCTTCAACATTGACCTCCATTTAACGCTTTCATTATTCATATTTCTGTAACACCTTTAGGGGTGCCATGGGTGGGCCGACCTTACAGTCCACAAGTGTCTTTTCTTTTTCACAGACATAACTATAAAAAAACATTATATAAAAACATTATAAAAGATTATATATTATATATAGAAATTAATGTGTTTGTTTTTTTGACACACAAAACAGTTGGTCTAATTAATACACAGCATGTATGATGGTAGTAAACTACTATTGTAGCCACCCATTGACCAGACTACCACAGATCACAGCTGTCTTCATGACAATGTTTGTACTTTTTGCCCACTATGGCACTTTTTCCATGTACTACACATCTTTAACCAGAACCAGTGCTCACCTTGATGGACCACAGGTCAGAGGCAAAGCGCTGCCTTTTTCTAGTCCCCATCGGAGTGTTATGAAGAGACGCAGCCACTTTTTTTGCAACACGTTTGTTTCTGAACTCCACCCAGCCCTCAGTGAAGTCACAGCGACGCAGACCTGACTTCTTTTTCTTCTTGCGAACAGTCCTATCTGAAAATATATAGTATAATTCCAAGTAAGGGAGGGCACATATTATTGCCAGTTTACTTGTGTATGTATAACAGAGTGATTAATGAAACACGTGATTTGGATTTACATTGTGAAAAAACATCTTAAATCATTGTTCCATGGAAATACAAAGAGTAATTTGCAAAGCAGGAAGTATTGCATAATCTATGGAAGATTTTCAACATAAACCAGTAGCAAACACCTAACCAAAACAAACATCAAATGTACCTTCTGGTTGAAGAAAAATGCGCCCAATCTCTCCATAGACTGACAACAAATTCCTCAGATGTTTGGGCTTGAGTCTGGGGGGAATGTGTCCCAGGTAAATAATTCCTGGAAGCATCTTTTTCCCCGGATTGACTCCTAACTTTGGCTTCTTCTGTTTGGTTGTAGTCGCGTCACCATTGTCAACATCTGCCTCTGCACCAGTCTCATTTTCAAATGCAGTGTCTTCATCCAAGTGCTGGTCTCCCTCCTCTTCATCACCATCACCATCATCATCATCATCATCAGCATCCTCATCGTCCTCACCGTTGCTGCTATCCTCATGATGTTCTTGTGATGAAAGCTTTTCTTCAAAATCCTCCATTTTATTGGTGATATTGTCTTGTACAGAGATGTCAACTTCACTCACATCGTTTCTCTTCATCTCTGTGTCCATCAGCTCATTAACTGCAAACACATACAAGAACAAAATGAATTGAACGAGATAAAACATTATTACAAAAAGAAAGCCACTTTATTTAAAACAACAAAACAAACTATTACCTGTAGTAATGAATGTGTAGCAGACCAGACTGCTAGAAGTCTACACAGCTCACATGTGAGGGGGAGTGTCGCATATGGATGACGACATCGTTTTTCGAATCCTTCACAATAAAAAAATATGTAAATACATTTTCTAGATATAGATCTCTAATGCCAATTTTATGAACAAAATAAGGAATATTATTTGTGAAACAATGATAGATACAAACTTCAGTTAATTCAAAATATAATAGATCACAGAATATTGTGACTTTACACATGGATAAGTAATAAGGTGAAAAGGTATGTTTACTTCCTGTGCCTTCATTTTGCTTGTTTGTCAAGAGAGGGAGAGAAAAAAAAACTTTTCAACTACAAATCCTGTTGTTTGGAATTCACAAAACTGATGTCCAGGTCTTTGCGTCGCTAATAAATGATTGCTGGGATGTATTGGCTGCGGCTTTAGTGACAGAAACCTTTGCTAATGTTGGCTAATGCTACAGGAAATGCACATCAACAGGGACTGGCGCAGTGTTTTGAACCCAAATGGTCACAATCATTAAGTTAAGATTTTGCCATGATTCGAATATATAGTGTCTTCAGTAGACCTGTTAGTGCAAGAAGGTTTCCAAGATGCAGAGGCCCGTGTGGAGTCTCCCTCTGAGCTCTGGGGTCATCTCCAAACTGAACAGGAGAGGGTTCCAGTGCACGGCCGACCTAGAACACCTCTCAGCGGACCAGCTCATCACTGGTACGGTAGTTCTTGTAGTTCAAAGCGAGATCTAAACCCTCATCTAGTCACAACATATTCCATTTAAACATGTATTTTGGTTGATTGAAGAGTCTCACATGTTACACTGTCAGACATAAAATTACACTAAAGCTATCATTTAGATCTATGCAATTAAAGTTATTATTCTTCCACTCCTTTTTGATAATCTGCAAGTGTTTCTCTTGTGTATATAATATTAATAATTTCGTATTATGTAATTGTAATTCAATGCACAATTTTGATAATCTACTTTTGTTTCTTGTACACTTGCTTGAAATAAACATGGCTTATTAAAATTCTACAAATTCAGAGCCTTCGAAGTTGCTCTTTCTGCACTTCCACCCGTTTTATAGATATCCAAATGTTGAGTATGTTAAACCGTGTGTGCAGAGACTGGTGTAACAGAGCAGGAGGCCTCAGAAGTGTTGGAGCTTGTGAACCCTCAGCGCTGCCCTGTCTCCATCACTGCACTAGAGCTTCTGCACAGAGAGGCGGAGCTGAGGCCCATCGTGACCTTCTGTTCAGAGCTGGACCAGGCTCTGGGAGGGGGAATAGCTCTTGGGAAGACCACAGAGGTTTGTGGAGTACCAGGAATCGGCAAAACACAGCTCTGGTGAGAGGATTGATGTGTATCTGTATCAGAATGAAATTGTGAACTATGTGCAACTAAAGCACCCCAATAAATAAACGTTGACACTTGGTTTTGAGATGGTATCTGAAGAACATAGTCTTGTGAAGGTAAAGAGCAATGTTGATCTCCATTTAATCAATTTGCAACATATTTACTCCTTTTGTAACACTTACTACATCCTAGTTATTAATGGCCGTTGTATATTTTGTTCCTCCCTAGCCTGCAGCTGGCGGTGGACGTGCAGATCCCAGAATGCTTTGGGGGTCTGGGGGCTCAGTGCCTGTTCATCGACACAGAGGGAACCTTCTTTATACAGAGATTTAGACAAATTGCTGCTGCTGTTGTCAGACACTGTTCATTGATCACAGAAAACCAAGAGCAGCAAGAAGCCATGAAGACTTTCACTGTGGAGAACATCCTCTCCAACCTGTTTGTGGTAAGTGTTGCTCTAAAGAATCCAGACTGGAGAAATAATGACACTGAAATTATTAAACAATTATTGGAACGTCCATTCATTTAGTTTCATGATTTCTGACTTAGTTGACTTATGTCTTCAAACACATTTTGAAATCCTTTTCAGGTCGGAGTAAGATAAGATGAGATAAGATATACTTTATTGATCTCACGAAGGAGAAATTTACATGTCACATCTGGCATGGATAGAAACACTCAAGATTGTGCAAAAAATAGAAATGTGCAAACATGTTAAACGCAGGATATTATGTACAATAAAAAAGTGACGATTTAAAAGTGGCAATCAGAAACAGTGTCAATAGTAGTGCAGATTTTTCAGTCTTAATACAGTGACTTAAAGTGACTTGTCGTACAGTCTGACAGCAGTGGGGATAAAGGCCCTGCGGATAGTGACTGAAAGTTTCCAGATAGAGAACATTTACAAATAAAGTGCATACGTGACAAAAATTATATTTCTTTGGAATTTCCCCAAGCAATGGCACTTTCTATGTCGTAACGGGTTTACCATATGTTTTAGTCAGTTATATATAGTTAGGGATTGCAATGTTCAAAAAACAATTATTTATTATAATTGTCAACTGATTGTTGTAAATGTATTAAATGTATCACATTAACAAACTAACCTTTAACATCATCAAGTGTAAATTCAGCGCCTCTATAGCATTTTCTAATTCTGTATGCCTCTATGAGATGGGGATGTACTGACTTTGAGACTGTTGCCAAGAAAGATTGTTCCTCTGCCCACAATAGGCTATTTGGAATATTGTGATGTCACAGGAACAACATTCGCTAACATGAGACTTCTGCTTTACCTCAGGTGTGTTGTGACGACTCTATGGAGTTGCTATCTCAGATCTCGAACATGCCAGCGTTCCTCTCTGACCACCCTAAAGTCCGCCTGATCATCATAGACAGCATCGCCTTCCCTTTCCGCCTCCACACTGAGGACCCGCCTCTCAGAACCCGCATCCTCCTCAGCTCCGCCCACCAGCTCCTCGCCCTGGCAACACACAACAATGCCGCTGTGGTGATGACCAATCAGATGACCACGCGAGTCCTGGCCAAGGGGTCCCGGCTCGTCCCCGCGCTCGGTGAAAGCTGGGGACACGCCGCAACTGTTCGGATCCTGCTCCAGTGGACGGACTTCAAAAGAGCCGCAACTCTACTTAAATCACCAAGTCACATGAACGCCACCGTCCGATATCAGATTAACACAGACGGATTCAGGGACCTGGGGGAGCAGCGCAAAAGGGCTAGGCTAGAGACTGATGAACAGAAAGCAGATTAAAGAAAAACACATTTTTAAATAAGGCAAACATTTAAAGCTGGGTAACCATAAATAACTTGATGTGCAGAATCTTTTCGTTTGCACACTAGATAGTGAGTAAACCACCAACTAGTTTAATGGAGTTCATTACAAGGTTATTTTTTGTGATTTGAAAGTCAGGTGCCCCTGCTTTAACCCATGTACTTATTGTTTATATGTAAATAAAAGTAATTGTAAATATGCGCATTTTCTAATAAACTAATCCCTGTAGTTGTTTGTATGAGGTAATATTTTTCCTCAAGGTATGCTTGATTTGTAAAATTATAATATTTATAGAACATTTGGTGGTAGTATTGTAGGAATTCTGTATCACAATGTATTAATATTGTCAGGATAATATATTATATCTTTACCAATTAGGTTCTTGTGTTTCCCAGCTCTTTTTTAGTACAATATATGGAACAAAAATAAAGGTAGGATAACAATCTAATTAATTTAAGTAAATGTTATTGAAAAAGGTCCATCGATTGGAACTAGGGCTGCACAACAAATTGAAAAAATATTGCCATTGCGAAAATGACGAGCAATGATGATATCGCAAAGATGTGTTATAACTTAATGTATAAATAAAGAGTTTTTCTTTTGCGTAAACATTACCATTGGCTGCTGCAGGGCGCTCAATCTACAGACTCACGAAAGAGCAGGACACAGCCAAGGAGTGGAAGTATTTTATATAATTGTTGAAAAATACTTATTGTACATAATAAATGTACATTATTAAAAAAATTAAATACAATTTAAGTTGCATCACCTATAAGTTGCTGCCCTTGGATGTGTGAATGAAAAAGTTTGCAAAGTTTGTAAATCAGACTGTGAAATGAGCAGGAGGCGGAGGGGAGGCTGTTCTCGTTCTGAATAATACAGCTTGTTTATCACAGATGAATATTTACACCAATATGTTCAAGTGACTGTATATTTAGAATCACCTGTGGATTAGCGATAGAACGACACGGCCTGAGGAGGGCGCCATAGAGCCAGATTCCTGCTTTTTCATGCATCAAATGTCATGATAGAAAGTGGAGTTTAGGAGGAGCCGCTGATTTCGCAATGTGAGTGTGAAACATAAGAGCTCCAGGGAAACCCGCGGGACATCCACGGAGGTAACCCACAGAAGAGCGCTGCTGTTCGGGAGAGAGCTGGAGATGTGGTCCGGTGGAGGTGAGCGCGGAGATGTCTTATTATTTATAAGGTGGACTGAAACTAAATATAAAAATGTGGATTCGGTGGGGTAATTGTCAAAATGTCGGTTCTCATGTTTCAAAGTTGAAATGTCAGTCTCTAAAATGATTGTATCCAGTCTTTTCTCCTTAAAAACACTGTGATAGGGAGAATGCTTAGAAAATGTATAGTTGCATAGCTGCTTTATAATGCAGTTCCCAATCCGAGTACTGGATTCTAAATCATTGGAATACTTTAACAATAATTTGCATAATATTCAAATGTGATATTATAATGTATTGATGTATCATGTGATTAGAACAACTTTGTTTATGCTCGTTTGTTATTTGAAAAGGCTAAAACACCCTCGTACTCATCCCTAAAAGTACCTTGAAAATAGTCTGTTTATTACTTCCAAATTCTGCTTCGACATAATATTATAATACATCCATGGTTTGTACACCGTGACGTAGTGAAGCCGAGGTTGTGAGTTCGAGTCTCTCCTGGAGCAGAAGTTCAGATCCAAACAGCCATATTGGGTTTAAGGATAGCCAGCTCTGAGGTCAGTCTGTCTATTCCACAGGCAGTATCATATGTACAAATGTGTAACACCCTGAGTGCTTGTTGGATATAGAGAAGTGGTCATGTTGAGAGCATGTCAGAACAACAGTGGTTTCCAAACCTTTTCTCCCGCTGACCCTGAAGATATACAAGATATGTTCTACTCGAGCTACAATTAATTATTGAGATAGTAGAATCTAACGCAGCGATTGATGAATTGTCTGTGAATCAAACACAGATTTAACCATGCTGTGAAGAGGTTTATAGAAAAAGTTTTTTGATCAAACAGGAAATGTGCTAAATCTAGCCTTTATGGAAATGTTCTTGAGTGGCATTTAACTTTGTTTTTGTCTTCTTCTTTTTTGAACCGCAATATTCAAACTTGACGAATAATGATAATATATTTTGCTCAACTTAATCCAAACATCCGTCCCCTGCATGTGAACATACTAATTATTCTATTTTCTGGTTAAACAATGGGTTTTAGAACTTATGTCCACACAGATTGATCTGCTCATTTTGTGTGTCTAAAATATATGTATTTATCGGAATACAAGCCACTGCTGTTTCTAGTTCTATGAACCCGGTGGCCTAGGGCTGGGCGATATGGCAAAAAAGTAAAATCTCGATTTTATGTCCTGCTTTGGACAATTTCGATTGTAAATAGATTTTCATTAAAGTCACCAAAGACAGACTTTGCCCTTAAAAATGTGTTTGATCTTTCCGCTCAATATTCAAGTTTCAAAACTATTCTTAATTTGTTTCCCCCAATATTACAAAAGTCTTGTACAGACTGTACCGATATTGCAAGTATAATTCAAGTGCTGCTGGAACTCTCACAATTTCCTTCATTCAATTTCACAATTTTCACATTTTTCAAACAGTGAAACGGTAGCCTATATAGTGATGCAGCTAATATTTGTATTTTTGTTGTAGTAGATTCAGATTCAGATTCAGTTTATTTGTCATTTGCAGTAAAAACACCACATAGGAATACATTAGCAAAAGTCACCAGTGTGCACAGACAAATACAGTCATAAAACAACATTAAAAGACAAAAATAAAACAAATAAGTTGTTTATGGGGGGGCCAACAGTTGATAGAGCATTGGTCTTTGAGCCTGAAGGTCGTGGGTTCAAGCCCGCCATAAGACTTACTTCATGACTCCCACTGATGACTGCTGTCGTTGTGTCCTTGGGCAAGACACTTAACCCTACTTTGCCTAAAAGCCTCCACTGAAAGATCTCAGCTCCTGTGGACTCACCCCCTGTAGGAGGATCAGTGAGGGGCTGGTGCTCTGTAAACCCTAACAAGTAAAGTTTACTTGAAAAAACCTTGGAAATAAATTGCATATTAACTTCACTTGAATTACTCGAGTACGTCCTTTACTTGATATTACCAAGTAACTCAAGCGATTGCAATAAATTTTAAATTTTGCTCGGGCCAGGAGTCAAACTCACAATCTTGGAGTTGAGAGGTGAAGGTGCTACCCACTCAGCCACCGTGCTGCCTTGCCCCATTTCACACCTGTCTAATTTAATACTCTACACGTCAAAATGTCAAAAGTGAGGCTTACTTGAACAGAGACAGTTCAATTCAAAGAAAACCCTGAGTGACATAGGCAAGCTTTAAATTAACTAACAATAAATGAGTAATATCCACTTACTGGGAAAAATCTATTTAGAATAACTTTGATATCTGAAGTACGATTGAAGTTAGGGTTTACGTACTGGGTGCAGCTCTGACTGCCACCCCCCCAACCCAGAAATGGATTAAGGGGAAGAAAATGGATGGATGGATAGAGTTGTTTATGGACGTATTTTTTTGACTCCATCAAATTGTAGCTGCTGTATGACAGACATTTATTGTCAAAATAGTCTGGAGAATGAGTACCAGCATGGAAGCTAACGGTTAAGCTGTTAAACACCTCATTATTAAATCTATCTGCTACATTACAACAAACATGAAAACCTGTAGCTTATGTTCAAGTGTTGCCTTAATGTGGACAAAATTTACTTTCTTTAAAAAATGTTGCTGGTGCGAATAGTCCAGAAGATACAGTAGTTATTTTTGAATTATTGTTTCCTCAGGTGCTGATTAGACCCCCACCATGTCTCTCACTTTCTGCTTCCACTCCCTCTGGCCCAGCCCTCTCCACTTCTGGGTCCTTTCCATTTGGGCTCTGTTTGTTTCACCTGTCACCTCCTCCCACCACCAATCCATCCCACACTCCATCAAACTGCATGGCGACATCACTCTGGGCGGCCTGTTCCCCATCCACTCCCGGGGGCCCCACGGTTTGCCCTGCGGAGAGCTGAAGAAGGAGAAGGGCATTCACCGGATGGAGGCCATGCTGTACGCCTTAGACCAGATCAACCAGGACCCGTACCTCCTGCCGAACATCACTTTGGGCGCGAGGATCCTGGACACCTGCTCCAGAGACACTTACGCCCTGGAGCAGTCGCTGACCTTTGTGCAGGCGCTGATTCAGAAGGACACGTCAGACATTCGCTGTTCAAACGGTATGCCGCCGCTGATCAGGAAACCAGAGAGAGTGGTGGCCGTGATAGGAGCCTCCGCCAGCTCCGTATCCATCATGGTGGCCAATATACTCAGGCTCTTTGAGGTGAGTTCATGTTTGTGTGTTTGAAACATTTTGGGAGTTTCACTTGATTTCACTAAAGCAAGATGTTAGTGGTGGAGTTCAGTCACAATGTTGGAAGGAGCCCATTACCTGTTGAGACCATGTGGAGCATGTGGACCGCATAAGATCTCATGTTGGTCGACTCTTGATTTACCACCAGTTACAGTAAAACAGTGATTGATCCACAATGACAGACAGATTCATAAATGTTTATAGGAATTAAGCAAGAAACGATAAATGTCCTGCAGCATCCCCTTTTTGTAGAGCCTCCTTCTTTGGGAGAAGTACTATGAAGGAGAGGTGTGTTCAGGACTGATGCAGTTCCATGTACACAATGTATGCAAACATATGCATGGCTAAAAATGTGTATATAATAGACATGTAGTGAGTCGCATCATAATAGATCATTCCCATCTCAGCCATAGACAGTGAAGTGTGGCTTTTAGGTCCCGCTTTGGGCATACTGGTGGTAAAGTTTAGAAAACCGAAAAGGTAGAAAAAAGTGTACTTGCATACACCAGTGTTTTTTTTATTTACAGATGCAACGTTTTGGCTTTGTCAGGCAAAAGACCATTTTCCTGACGAAGGCCCATGGCCGAAACTGTATCTGTAAATAAAAAACACTGGTGTATGCAAGTACAGTGTGCAGAGTTTTTTCCACCTTTTCAATTTGGCGAAGACATGTGCGGAGCCTGCTCTTACGCACCTGTCACAAAGTCGGATGTGCGAAGTATTCCGCTTTATAAAGTATAGAAAACTACATGTGATATGAAATGTTAGTATGTGATTGTGTTTATCGAAAATATATGTTAGTGTTCTATTCACAAAGTGGCATGAGTTATCTTTACATTGTATAAATAGTAATACCATACCAAAGTTGTGTGTGATCATGCAGTTTGTTTTGAACCGTGTTAAAACACTGTATTGTGTATCTTGAGTTGTTATTGATTCTTATATGTTTGAGTAATTTTCTACGTTCTGCGTCCTATTCATCCATGGATTGGATCAAAAATGAACCAAGGCACCAACTGCCTTTGGTTGATATTATTCCATCTCACAGAGATCAGAAAATCCTCCATTGGGACTAACTCCAGTTAAAGTAATCATCAGGGGCAGGAGCAATTTTCAGGGGGAGTTACAGTGTCTCTTCTGTAAATGTCACTCTAAACTGAGTTGAAATGGGAAGCAGTGGCCCAACAACCCCAGCGCCGAGAACTTAGAACACACTGTAGAACAGCACTTTTGAAGTCTGTGCTATCATCTGGGATCCTTTTTCTAGATCAGGAAAAGTCTTGCAAACTTTGAGAGTTCAGAGGAGGGCAGCAAGCATTCTAACTTCTGTCTATGGTCCAACATGCAGTTTTACAGTTATGCTTCAAACTCCTGGATGGAAAAAACATCAAAGACTTGTCCTAATGTATAAATTAAAATGAAAACCAGCTCAGCAGAGTCGCACACCCACTTTACCCCAGCCGACCACTGAACCAGGTCCCATCATCCAAGGGATGATGGGATTTAATCTTAAAGTTAAAACCAAACACAAACGTGATAAAAAAAAAAAAATGGAAAATGGAGCCAACCAGCTTATGGATACACTGCACCTACTTTAAAATAAATACGCTGTAAAATCACCTCAATTGTCTCTTTTTCTGTAAAGGAATAACAACTGGGATGTTATAAAATATTAGTTTTACATAGTACATAGATTTCTCCCTGTTCTGACACCTAAAACACCAAAATAAGCAGTTTGGCATGGATAAATACATACCCACAAAGGACTCCTACATGTTTTCTGCCCCCAGTTAAGACCCGCCCATAACTGTGATGTAGTCAGAAATATCTCTATATATATATATATATATATATATATATATATATATATATATATATATATATATATATAATCACATTGTTCCAGTAGCCCAATTTTCATCAAGGTGCTCTGGTTCCCCAGCACCTGACACAGACCTTGTTTGGCCAGGCGACATCTGAGCAGGCATCTCATTGCTTATTTGTACCTTCATGGTTATGAGTTAGGCAGTAGCATTAAGGGTCTTGCCCAAGGGCCCACACTGGAAGTTGGTGTTAATGTGCTCCCAGTGGGATTCAAACCCTGGCCTGCAGGTCCCAGCCCTACCAACTGAGCTATCCAGCTGCCAGCTGAGTAAGGCAGGTCCTAAGAAGCCGGCTCAATGGCAAGAACAAGGCCCGGGCAATTAACAGCTACGCCCTGCCAGTGATCAGATACCCTGCAGGAATAATCAGGTGGCCAAAGGAAGAGATTCAGACCACGGATGTTAAAACTCGAAAGCTCCTTACCATGCATGGCGGGTTCCATCCCAAATCCAGCACCCTGAGACTGTACGTAAGCCGTAAAGAAGGAGGCCGAGGACTAGTGAGTGTGAGAGCCACTGTCCAGGACGAAACATCCAAACTCCATAACTACATCATGGAGAAGGCCAAAACGGATGACGTACTCAGTGAATGACTCAGGCAGTGGCGAGATGAGGAGGTGCTGGAGGAGAGCCCATCATGGGAGGACAAGCCCCTACACGGCATGTTTTCAATATATATATATATATATATATATATATATATGAAAATAAAATGTATCTATTAAAGCCCATTATGAAGGGGGTTATAGTACCGGTACTTCTTTGTAAAATGTATAATGTTACTTTCTGTGAGGATATGGGCTCCACGCATGCCAGAGGTGTGCCGTTACATTGCATCCAGAAAGTAAAAACAAAATATAGTTTATACAGCAGTTATGGAATGTTTAGTTGATATATTACATCTGTATCTTTTGAAATCGATTTTTCACACTGTCAAGCGATTAGTTTTATTGTGCAACAATTAAGTGATTAGAGGTAACTTATACATCCTCTCCTCCTGAATCTGTTTTTTTAATCAAAATAGACGTCAATCTTTGGCACAGCTTTATACACTTAAACGTTCGGTTACATTTATACCTACTGTATACTGCTATAATCCTGTTCTTTTTTTCTTTTTATCTTCAACTTTTCTGTCACTTGGCATAACAGTAAAACCACGATTAATATTTATGGGTTCCAAGCCATCACTGTGTAAAGAAGTAACCTGTGACATGCACTTCAAGCAGCTTACCGGGACCGTGGTAAATCATGAATTATCCAGAATAAATGTATTATAGTGGGATATTTCTGGCATCACATCAAAGAACAATCTGATCTAAAGTCATAAAGATGTTTGGATTGTGTGATGTCAGAGCGCTCGTCACTTCCCCTTTGTATTATGTGATGGAGACAGACGGTTTAACAGTGAGAACCACTCAGGATTAGGTTGCTAATATTGTCAAACAGAACAAAATCCTGAAACAATTAATGAGTAGGTTCTATAACAGTGATCCACGGAGGAGAAAGACTGCATCATTTCAGTGATCGAGAACAGAGATGGAGAGAGATGCACAAATAATCCAATCCATATCTTTTCTCTATGTCGCAAAGACAGGTGTGATGCAAAGTGTTGCAAAACTAAGGCTTGACTGCTATATCATTTTGGATATTAACGGCTTATTAACCGAGCGCGAGGTCTGTATGGAGAAAAATCAGACCGCGGCCTTAATGTACAGTGCAAAAAGGCCAAGGTCTGATATTTCTCTGTACAGACCGAGCAAGCGAGGTTAATAAATGTTTTATTATATGACTCTTGTCTGTGTCTTTACCAATGCTTTTGAGCTATTTGTGAAGTATGTTCATGTCCGACTTGGTTTTGTGTGATACGCGCTGCGGACAGATTGTCATGGTAACGGTCCGAGGAAAGATATCAAATGTGATACGCGCTGTTCGGACCAATTGTCACGGTAACGGTCCGAGATGGGAAAACATCAGACCGGTAATCAGCCAATCAGAGCGCGCGTACGGTCCAAGTCATATAATAATGTATATTACATAATATACTATTTGTGAGAAAAGATAAAAGTACTTTGCCCAGTAACCGTTTGTGTTACACTCATGATTTTGGGCTTTAAAAACTGGTTTAGCGCTCTCTATGATCCTGGTGTTTATTTTGTGATATTGTTTTTGTAAATCTAGATCTGAGCCATATGAGGAATGACCAATCAGATATGTTCATTAGTGGGGAACATTTTTGTTCAAACCGGCTTCTTCCGCATTCTGCAAACACTATGGGTAACGTCAGCACTCGGTCAGTCCACTCTTATTTACAGTTGTGTTTGAAAGTTTACACACACAGGAAGAAATATTTTAGCTTTATGTTTTTTGTATCACTCATTGTTAGTGGTTGTTTTTTATCGCTGAAATAAACTTGCTTTTTAGTTTCTAGTTTTTCAAGCTATCTCTATACTCAATTCTTTCTCTTAAACGAGTGACGATTGGAGTGATGATTGGTGTCTCTCGATTTAAGTTGTAGAGATAGAGAAAAAATTAGACCCCAATATATTTTGGCATGGCTTAAGTCTATAGTATTTTTTTTTAAACAGATGAATTCGCACCAAGAAGAGCGGTTAGGCTTAAAAATTGTGTCTGAAATTTCTCCAATCTGGGAAATATAAAGACATTCATACAAAATATCTCAACAACACATTTTTAACCTCTCTCGTCTGTAGTGCTTTCTCTCTTGCCTGTTACAGCACGGTGTGGTGGTTTCAGCCTGTTCCTGGTTAGCGGTGGGAGTGGCTTGTTGGTAATGATTTTAATGAAGTCTTATTGCTGGAGGTTAATCTCTCTGGGTTAATGTAATTGTGTTTTATTTGAGCTCTGACACAGATTCATGCTCTTCATAATCCCACCTGCGCCAGTGCTCCCAGTCCCCCCAGCAGCTGTTTCCAGTTAGAGAGAATACAAGACAGCTGTCGTATATTAAAATATTATTAAAAACACATACGATTACGGTAATAGAGAGCAGATGCAGTAGCTTGTAGTTAGAACACACGTCTTTGGCCATGCCGACTTTAGAAATTAGGAAATGCTAAAATATCTATTTGTGATAGAGCCATTCAACTGAAATACAACTGTATAAAGGACAATACTATAGTCAGTACTTGTATGTAGTAATAATAATTGGCAATTCACCAATCACTTTATTCTTATGTTTCTTTATACATACATACTACAGTCAGGGGAGTCCTAGTCCCAGAGAGAGAGGGCGGGAGTGGGCTAGGGGTGGGTGTTATGGGGGACTATTGTACATGTTTTTTGCGGAGGTAGAGGTGGAGGTGTATTTACAGTTCTATAAATAAACAAGGATGGAGAAATGCTCTTCCTTAATCTCCCTGTTCACAGAGAGATTGTTGGCTTGGAGCATAGAGTCATAAATGCTGTGTGAGAAATGTAATTTAAATGGGAAAAATTGGTTAATGTAAAGTTTGATATTACAATATGTGGGCTTTACCCTGCAGAATTTCTTGTTAATTTGTTCCTTATACTGAATCTCCCATTATTTCTACTGCTCTATAATGGGCGCAGCAACTGGGGGATGAATACAGAATCTCTTAACTTAGTTTGTGAGCTGTGGAAATCAGGCTGCTGAGGACACATTTTCTTGCAAGGACAAGGAAGTATATATCAACCCTAACCTTTTCCATTTAGATTTAGACAAAGTTATACTTTATGCAGTGATGTCATGTAGTGAAGTAGTAAGGAATCTACTGTAATGGCGACTCCTCTCCCATTTCTGTGTGGAGTGACTGTGAGAGACAAATGCCCACAATTGTAAACCGCTTTGTGACTCTGGTCTGTGAAAGGCGCTATATAGATTAAGATTACTTACTTACTTACTTACTTACTTAAATGGTTCCCGAGCTTTAAAGTACAATGTGAAGATTGAAATACTTTCCACATTTCCACAGTCACAAGTGTAGGGAAGTAAAACTGTATGAATGTTGAGGCTGAAACTGATTGAGGTGAGAGCAGAGGACTCAGATGTGGGGGAGCTGGTCAGTGGGGGTCATCTGTTACCAGAAGTCAATTGATTAAACTGAAACCAAAGCGACAGTGCATTTCAGAAGATGTTCTCTGATACAAGGTTAACTACAGGAAGTGTATTATACTGAAGTAGATGAAGTTACACTAGGCTCGATCACTGTGAGCTTTCTTACTTTCAGATTTCCCCCCCCATTTTTGTGTGTGTTTAAAAAAATTAATCTGTTTTGAAATGTCTTTAATTATGTCTATTCAATATTGAAATGCTTGTAAATAGTTTTGTTATTGATCCAATCAATAATGGAGATGCACCTCTATTCACAATGAAGTAAGCCAAGGATTTTATTTTGCTGTATTGTTTCTTGGCTTGACAAAGACAGCAAAGATCCTTCACAGCATAATTTATTCTCTCCACATCATGGTTGTGATACAGCTGTAGCGCAAGGAGAGATCGAAGCGTTCTCTAGCCTCTGGTCTCCGGGTCTCCCCCACTGCCTCCCCTCCCTCGGCTCGCACCACTGCTCTTTCCCAGACCAATTCTAGCCCTTGCCCTTCTAGAGCGTCACTTGTCAAGTCCATTGATGAAGTTGATCTTTTAAAAAATATGTAGTGTTCCCCGAGAGGGGGAGAGGCTGCACTGCAACAGTGGAGTATGACAGAGGTTTAACACCTTTTGGAGCAAACTGATGATGCACATATCCTATAGAACTAACTGAACACATTTTTTTAGCACACAGTACAGCACCTAGAATAATAAATATAACCCTAAGTGATTTTTCTCTGTAGATCCCTCAGGTGAGTTATGCCTCCACCGCTCCGGAGCTCAGCGACAACAACCGTTATGATTTCTTCTCCCGAGTGGTTCCTCCAGACTCCTACCAGGCCCAGGCCATGCTGGACATCGTCAAGGCCTTAGGCTGGAACTATGTCTCTACACTGGCTTCTGAGGGCAACTATGGAGAGAGCGGAGTGGAGGCCTTCATGCAGATCTCCAGAGAGGCAGGTGGGAAGTTGTGTCTTCATCATAGACTGTGGAAGGTCAGGTCCTGTGTTCTATGAGGCGACTTTTGGTCCCAGAAAGCCAAAATATTATTTTTTATCTTCAGTGCTATCCATCCTTGTCCTAAAAAGATATTTTAAATGTATGTATAGTTATGACCTTGGGTAACCTATGTGCAGTAAATATTCAAAAAATATCTCAACAATAGTCCCTTCACTTGGGAAAACTACAACAAGTAAGATTTGTTGGAGGAGAATCGTTTATCCAGTGACAAGGGGTCGCAAAGTAATCAATTGATTTTGACCAATCAGGCGCTGAGCTTGGGTGCATTGCTTGTCTTCAAAATGTTTCACTCTTATTTCACAATTTGACCTTGATCAATACAATACACTCACTCAAAAAGCAAATACAACTCAATAAAAGTTGATAGTATAAAGTGCTCTGCTAGAATTTAGAATTTTGTTTTTTTTTATAGGGGGAGTGTGTATAGCTCAGTCTGTGAAAATCCCTCGTGAGGCGACAGACGGAGAGTTCGACAAAATCATCAAGCGACTCATGGAGACCAGTAACGCAAGAGGAGTCATCATCTTTGCCAACGAGGACGACATCAAGTAAATAAAAACACATTGAACCACCAAAAACAAAAAGGTTACAGGGATACAATGATTTACTCCAGCAGTATTCGGTGTAGGGCTGTAAACAATAATAATAATCAAGCCAAATCCAATTAAATTTCCAAAATAATTTTAAAACACAGCTTTTTCATCATTTTCAAATTTAACAAATGTTAGACTATTAAAACTATTTTTGAAATGTGTTAATGGATTTGCACCAAAGCCCTTGAGCAGCTCCCTGTCCCTTTAAAATCCTGTCTCAACTCAGCACGTTCAAAAAAGAATCAAAATCTTGGATGTGCAAGTAGCAGTTCTGCACTCATTTATAGACGTTTTGCTGCACTTTCTATTCATGACTAGTTTATTTTATTGTATATTGTACAATTGTATGTTTCTGACATTGTGCTTGTCATGTATTTTTTTTCTTTCTCTACTGTTTGTCAATTTCTAGAGACAAGTGCTGTAAATTAGCTTTGGCAATAAGTCCCATGAAGCATGTATCAGACTACTGTATGAGTTGTTTTCTGTCCCCACTCAAATAATAATAATGATTCACAGACTGGAAGACCTTTAAAGATGATTGGATTACTAAAAGGAGGATTGTTGGAAAAATTGGATCAGTTGACCTTCGTTATAAATAAGGGCTGACACAAAGGGGGGACAAACAATGCTAGCAGTTTGCTTCTGTATCTGTACTCCTGATATCTATCTTATGTTGTAATATCACAGTTATGTCTTTGTTTTAGGAGAGTTCTGGAGGCGGCGAAGCATGCCAACCTCACCGGTCACTTCCTGTTCGTGGGCTCGGACAGTTGGGGGGCCAAGAGTTCACCAGTGTCCGAGCTGGAGGATGTAGCCGAGGGGGCGGTCACCATTCTACCAAAGAGAGTTTCTATAGACGGTAAAACAACTCATTATCCTCAGTTTTCTGACATATTCCATAATCAAAATCAGGTGTAACATGTACACATACACTGCATATGGAAGGACAATGCCAACACGCTAGCTCTCTGGTTCACATTGAAAACAAAACTCCTTTAACTCTGTATAACTATTTTTGTCCCAATCTCCATTTTGGCTATGATGATTATGATTCACAATATTCTAGTGAAATATCCATCCATGCATTTGATTATGCTTACTGACTAGCAAAACACATTTGCTATATTCTATTGACACAGTGAAAGCTCATTCAGTCACAAAATGTATCAACTAAATATTGGTTTGATACACAAAAGATAATATTTAAAGATGAGATGGAGAGGGGAACTTTTATTTGTGCTTCTGGAAGATTTCATGATGTTCCTCTTTTGAATGTGTGGCTTATTTAATTGTTTTTCAACCTTTTTACAGGGATTTTTTAGTTATCTTATTTGGATGGAACCATAACAAGACCAACTGTAAAAAAATAAATAATAATAAAATAAAATAAAAAGTTGGGTATTATGGTAGCCATATGAATGTTTTTCATGAATTATTACTAATTACGACGGCGACAGTAGCTCAGTTGGGGGGCGACAGTAGCTCAGTTGGTAAGTAAGTAAGTAAGTAAGTAAGTATTTATTTATATACCGCCTTTTCACTGCAGATCTGAGTCTCAAAGCGGTTTACAATTGTTAATTTTTTTGGGCATTTGTCTCTCACTCCACACAGAGATGGGAGCGACGTCGCCAGTACAGGAGGCGCATGCTAGAACTATTGGACATATTTTTAGTGGTAGGGGAAACCGGAGTACCCGGAGGAAACCTACGCAGACACGGGGAGAACATGCAAACTCCACTCAGAAAGGCCCTGGTCCGACCGGGATTCGAACCCAGGACCTTCTTGCTGAGAGGCGAGAGTGCTATCCACTCAGCCACCGTGCCGCCCTGGTAGAGCAGTTGGTAGAGCATTGGCCTTAAGGCCAGAAGGTCGTGGGTTCAATTCCCACCTCTGCACCTTCTCCACCGACTCCCACTGATGACTGCTGTCGTTGTGTCCTTGGGCAAGACACTTAACCCCACTTTGCCCAAAGCCCCCACTGAAAGATCAAGGCTATGCTCACACTCAGAGAGCAGCCGTCCTCCTGTGGACTCACCACCTGCAGAGGGTCAGTGAGGGGCTGGTGCTATGAGACTTGGGTGGTATATGATGTGGTAATTATCTTGCCAGCTGTCATTGGGTATTGACTCTCATTCATAGACTTCTGGTGGGTTGGTGGAGAACTTGTGGTTAACAGCTGAGAGTCTGCTGAGCTCATAGTAACGTGATTCAGGCAGTATGTGACACGCGTCAGTTCACTTGACATATACTGTACTGTATAATCAAACAGCTTGGGTTTACACAGTTATCAGGATAACGCTGGTTTGAGCAATTATTGGCTTGACACAGTGCAGCGTTTTGAAGTGGAAGACCGGTTCACAACTCGTATTGATCAAAGTTTGAGCGTTGGAAAACAAAGATAAGGCAAGGCAAGTTTACTTTTATAGCACCGATAACAGTCTGCTATTGAATGGATCCATAATAGTGCAGACCATAGAGGGAGCATCACACTGACAAAGCAATAGATAATATAGATTAATGGTATAAACGGACCAATAAGAGGTTCATCTAAAACAGCCTTGTCCTTCGTTTAGTATGAATGTAGCTGAATGAGACTAATGGGTAGGTAAGGTTTACAAATGCATGTTACAAGAGAAAGATGTAAAGCTCTCCAAATAATTAAGAAAACAAACCACTACAGTTTTCTACAACTGAATATTTTTTATAATCATAGACACATCATCACACACATGATACTCAGAAGAAATCCGTTTTTCCCTTGGTTTTTACAGAGCAGCAGATTTTCCTGGTAGAGCGGCTTCTGGAGCGTGCAATTTGGCAACAGCTGCTCTCCTTCACGCTTTTGTTTCACTTTTCCTTATTGTGGTCACATTATGATCATTCGGCGGACACCATCACACCAGGCACATCTCAGACAGCGTGGAGACACATCCATCTAGTTTTGGGTCCCCGTGAAAAGTTTTAAAGCTGATTTTAGATTACCCTTTCAACATGTGGTTTTGTGGTAATCTGTGCAAATGAATTATAATGGTGTTGTAATTTCTCACAATAACTTTTAAAACATATATTTTTTCATTTCTAGGTTTTGACCAGTACTTTACATCCCGTTCACTGGAGAACAACCGCAGGAACATCTGGTTTAATGAGTTCTGGGAGGACGACTTTAGATGTAAACTGACCAGACCTGGAATCAAACTGGACCCAGACAAGAAGAAGTGCACAGGTGACAACTGTACCAAAGCTTATAATTATTTTAATTTTGATAATGTTATTGACCTGTTTCCAGTTTATCAAGAGCATTAGAAGGACATTCATGTGTTTAAGGAAGTCACTGTGCTTTGATCTGATTTGCAGTGATAAGCAACAGCAAACATGGATCATTTATTAGTAGTGTCGTAGTAGAAGGAAGAAAAACAGTCAGAGCTATTGTAGTATTAGTAGTATAGTATAGTATTTAGAATAGTGTACATCTCATATCAATCAGCAGTACAAATATGTGATTAAATAATGCATGTTTTATATTCATACCGCAATAATAGGATCTTATTTTATTTTGAAATATAAACTTGTGTTATTCTTAATATTCACTTATCTTTTCAACACTATGGAACGTATAAAAGATCTCTTAATATTCATACAGTACATCATAGAAGCATTTTCCGCTGGTGTGTCCTGCAGGAGAGGAGCGAATCGGCCGGGACTCTCTGTACGAGCAGGAGGGGAAGGTGCAGTTTGTGATTGATGCCGTTTACGCTGTGGCCCACGGTCTGCACTCCATGATCCAGGACCTGTGCCCCGGCGCCTCAGGGGTCTGCTCCAGCATGGACCCTGTGGAGGGGCGCACGCTGCTCAGCTACATCCGGGCCGTCAACTTCAACGGTGAGGAGGGGAAAAGATATATAATGATTTGCGATTACTACAATTTTAGAGTTTGGATTATTGTGATGAAGACGAAGTTTTGCTCGAACTTGCTCTGGCTCTTATTGATTACATTGAAAAGTAAACTCTATCTCAGAAACCGTTTGTATCTCATTAAATCCGTGACTTGGTGCTCGTGATCCAGGTGTTTATATTTAGGCACGAACCCCAACAGGGATAATTTGATATTGTCTTCGTAAATCCAGAATTGAGCCATTGAGTGGTAGACCAATCAGATGCCTTAATTTACAGGGGTAACTCCAGTTTGCCTTAGCAACTGTCTTAGCAACACGCCTGTTACCGCTGTTGGAACAAATGCCCGTATAAGGAAATTGGCTCCAGCTAGCTTATGTTAAAATCAGCTTCTTCCGCATTCGACAAACACTATCAATCAATCAATCAACTTTGATTTGTAGAGCGCCTTTCCTACAAAAGGCAACACAAAGCTCCTCACAACCCATATCATATCAGGCATAAACATTAAAATCTACATAAACATAAAACGTTATTTAAAAAAATACTATGGTGACGTTAGCACTCGGTCAGTCCACTCTTATTATACTATGTCTATGGATCCCACACGCCCCACACTGTATATCAAGTGACTCGAGATGTTGTTTCAGAGCCCAAAAAGAATAACTCTTTTAGTGGAAAGGCAGCAGTGTCATGGAGGACTTTAACTGGATTTTCTTATCGTGAATCTTAAGAGAGTTTGTATAAATCAGCTGAACTTCTGGGTCACAGCTGCTCACACTGCCTTGTCCTGCTATAAACCTCTATAATTTTTATGTGAGCAGAGTTGGATAACAGCGCGTAAATATTAAAACAGCTCACTAAGAAGCCTTTAACCTTTCTGATCTGGTATTAGCTCCACTACACTGCCCTTAGCCTAACTACAGCAGCGCCGTCTAGGAAAGGGGCTCTAACTTTTCCTTATAACCAGATTCACCGGCTTAGCTTGACCTATAACACACAAGCACAATGGGCCACGTCACTACTATAGTTATACAAGTAAATACATTTTTTATCATTTCCAGAGATCCAATCAAACTAGTTCATTCTCAATATTAACATTCAGTGCATGGTCAATAAAAGCTGATTTCAGACTGTTCACAGAATCCAAGCTTGTCATCATGTTATAATGGTTTTCCCTCTTCAATTATTCACTGCAAAGTTGTAATTTCTTCCTTCACTTTTCTCTGACAAAGCTCAGATATTGCTCTGAAAATTAGGGCATTTCATCGACTGTCTCTATCTGTAAGTGCGGCCTCCAGCGATGATGGCGATTCAAATGGAAAAACGCTAAATGCTTGTCCCGTTCTTTCATTTTCACAAGATTATCTAATAATGTAATGTGCAAAGAGGCTAAATTACATCTTCTATCACTAGATGTTTTTGGGCTCTTTCATTTTCTGTGTCTCAAGCTATTACTACATTACTACTAGTGAAAAAAGCATCAACATCATTTGACCAACTTGCCTCCGTGTCCAAAGTTGCAGTTTTGAAATATATTTGTACAATTTAAAATTTAATATCTATCAGCAGGGAGTTTTCACTTTGAATTTGGGGAGAAATGCTTAGATCTTCCCTCTCCTCTTCCCTCTCCAGCTTGAGTCTGATAAGTTCTGAAGTGGACTCCTCTCTGTTAATGCACTTTACATGTTCGCTGTGAGGTGGGTGTGGTGAATTATTCAGACGCACATCTGGTCCCAGACACTCCAATCTTTGCAGTTAGCAACCGAGTGGAGCCACGTAACTGTGTTTAAACTGTTTATGAGTAGGTATTTCAGCTAATTCCAAATATGTGACCCAGCGCTGGCCCATAGAAAAACAGTGCTTTCATGATGGTTTTCTAGAGCCATTTGAAGATATTTCTTTGTACACTTTCAAAAGGCAAACAGACAGGATCTTGTACGACTGGTGAGAAAAAATGTTTTGTGATTTAAGTTGTGCCATGAAAATGAAAATAGATTACTTGATTCAAAGGTCAATTTCGACTAAAAACTCATATTGTCTCGTTCTGGTGCATATTCTGCCCTGTTCCATCCCTATCATTAATGCATTAAATTGAATTGTGCCCATGGGCTCGTCACAAAGCAGGAGGAGCAGATTTGCACACAAAATGAATTTTCCCAAACCCTTCTCTTTCTCCTATAATCTTGAGAATAGCTCTGACTGTTTTCTTCCTTCGCAGGTAGTGCAGGGACTGGTGTACTCTTCAATGAGAATGGAGACGCCCCGGGACGCTATGACATTTTCCAGTTTCAGATGACCAACCACACCCATCCAGGCTACAGAGTCATCGGACAGTGGACCAACAATCTCAGATTAAACGTAAGAATATCCGCAACCACAAATCCAGTAAACATATCTGAAGAGATAATTATTTGAAGAGACTGGACTGTAGGGTCCATCAACATTTCTTATGCATGGGAGAGGAAATAGCCAACAATTTGAGGGGTGCTCTGAATACTCTTTGTTAAACACCATTGCTTTACAATTTTTCTGCTTCTAACGCTCCCACTTTGAGAATAGATGTTCTCTTCTGCTCATTCACCGAACAAAAGCCTTAGTGAAGTGGTCATGAAGCTGAAGGCGCAGATTCAGACTGAAAGACCGAGTGCAAATTCCCCCTTCCAAGCCAACCAATCACACAGCCCGGGCAGCCTTCTGCCAACCCTCTCACAAGCAAGCGGGCAGTTTAAAAGGCAGCCACTTCCTGACAAGCAGCGCTCCTGAAACTCTTAACACCCACCACCTCCCCAGCACCTCCTCCGGCTCTCGCTCTAGGCGCCCACTCTGGCTCCCGCTCTGGCTCCCGCTCTGGCTCCCGCTCTGGCTCCCGCTCTGGCTCCCGCTCTGGCTCCCGCTCTGGCTCCCGCTCTAGGCTCCTGCTCTAGGCTCCTGCTCTAGGCTCCTGCTCTGGCTCCTGCTCTGGCTCCTGCTCCGCTACGCCCCACTCACACCATACTCTAGCCACCACCAGTGGCTAGAGTATGGTGTGGGGGGATCTGAGACCATCTTCAGCTGCAATCGATCTCATCGATGCAAGTGTCACTGCCGGGGTCAAAGCGCCAAGCAAAACATAATTTTAATGTATTAATTGTGTATTTGGTCTCTTCAGATTGAATTAATCCTTTAATGGTTTCCTCAACCATTTGGTAGATCTCTTTTTGAGTCGCTATATCTACTTGAAGCTTGGAACTGAAATATAGAGGGAATCTTGAGGGAATCTCTCTTGGTTTGGTTTGGTTGGCACTGTCTCCATCAAACTGCATCTCAACCATTTGGTAAAGGCCTATAATAATGCAAAAATCAGAATCAGAATCATCAGAATCATTTGTATTGCAGGAAGTCACAGACAAAGAAATAGGGAAAAATATTGTTAGTGTTATTAGTGTTCTACATCTTACATAATCCCATAAATTAAAAAATACATGTCTTTCTTCAAGGAGTAAACATTATGAGGATAATGTTATGGCTAATTCTGAATATTATGCTTACAGATGGAGGAGATGCAGTGGTCTGGAGGAGATCAGTCCCTGCCTGAGTCCATCTGTAGTTTCCCCTGTAAACCTGGAGAGAGGAAGAAGATGGTGAAGGGAGTGCCCTGCTGCTGGCACTGTGAGGTAACTCCACACAGATCACTGTCTGCGATTACGTCTATCACTCTTGCACTAATTTGAGGTCACATTTCAAGTATCTTCCAGTTGTGATCATATCTTTTCATATCCTGCTGTCAGAATGTATGATTTCTTCACCCATTTTAAATCATAGGTGGAAAAATACGTGTTTTTCCCACCTATGATTAGTGGTTGGTTGAAGCCAATTATTGTCAATGCTGCTTTTAGTGCCATTTAAACCTGTTTGTGACAACTTAAGAGTCTACAATCACCAGGAAAGTCGATTCACCCACCTCCTCCACAGAGTTATTTTGTTTTTATTAATAGTGTTGTCTGGTATTTAATGGAATCTTTGCACCTTGCTCAGGGACTGCAGTAACTTAGCTACAGTAAATCCTTTTCATTAATAGTCATTGATCTGTATTGGGCCTGTAAAACAAAAACAATAAATCAATAAAATATCTGGGAGATTGGCCATGAAGGCATATATTCTTTCAGTGGATGAGCACAGTTGTTGTATATTTCTCACAGTGACACTGGGAGGATGCACTGTCCACTTTTTAGAGAGAGAAGGATTTTAACCCATAACCTACGTACAGGGAATCTGGAGATAGATTAACCACTTGACAAATGACTTAATATCTATATGTGACTATTGGTGTCAAAATGTGATAAATGATAAATAATAGCTTTCGTTGTAAGTGATGAAAAATATGAACAGGAAATTGTGATTCGTAGTATTCCCATGGATCACATGAGACAGTAACGGAAATGGGACGTTACATTACAAGTCCAAAACGTCTAATAATAAACAAAGTTGTTAAACTCATCAATAACCTTTTCCAGTTTGCCCAAAAGTTATAATTTTATTGGAATCTGAAGCCACTGGTGCATCAAATTGATTCAAATAACTAGACATGTGTTTTTTTTAAATCTGAACCAGTGCCACAGGACCACTCTGGTTTTATTTCAGTCCTCTACTGTCTTTAACGTCTTCTCAGTTTCCTCCACAGCCGTTTTTTCTGTATTTAAGTAGGTGTAAACAATGTGATGACATTATTTATTGGTAGAAGCATCTACTTAAATATCTACCTAGCTTACTTACTTACTTACTTAAGATGTTGTGGTTCCTGTGGCACCCCCTCCACTGTTACCAAGTTTAGCTCCCCCTTGTAAGCATTGCAAATATTGTTCCCCGTCCGTTTCTGACAGACGCTCTGGACGTTGAAAAGCCCTAAATAGCAGTGTCTCCCGTGTTTGAACATGATGTCACGCCACTGTCTTACCAACTCCATGTTTAGTTTAATCGTCTGCTGCTTCCACACAAACAAAAGCTCTTCTTGTCCATGCACTCCAGACAGAAATACAGACGAAGCGGTGCACAATGGGTCCATGACGTTGATGCGTCTTTGGTCGGGTTATTGTTGTCTGCCTTTAGTACCATCAGAGTTGCTCTTCTTATCACTGCATTTGAGACTTCTGAGGTTGCTCCAGGGATCTGCTGTAACCACTCCTTCAGCTTTGGGGTCACTGCCCCGACTGCTCCACGCGCACAACTGTCACCTTTACCTTTGGGGCCTCTCCAGCTCCTCTCTAAGCACTTGGTATTTTTCCATTTTCTACTTACATGTATTGTTCTTTCTTCTTGAAATTACCATAATATTATAAATAATATACTTTTTTGTGCCTGCTACTCCACTGCTACTCAATAATATAATAATACAGATACATTACAAATGTATAATGTAATGTATTTTGCGATGGAAAGCCATCCCTTCTTAACGCACTTTGTGCATGTTCTTATCCTATATTTTCTGATAAACAAAATGAATATGCACTGTGACCATTTAACATATCATTTGTTTGAAACAATGTGTCTTTTCTCACAGCCTGATCAACCCTAGCGAACATCTCCCGGAGGCAAGAGTAGAAGACTGAAGATCTGGACTTTATTAGATATATGTTTTAAAACAGTTATGCTAAACTCTACTTAAATGATGGATTGTTAAAGGTTTTTTTTATACAACCATTGTTAATAAAGCTATATCCTTTATCATCTTCAACCTTGTTTCTTCCCTAATCTAATATTCTTATCTCAAATGAAATATCCACTATTCATTAATTAAATACAGTATATACTCATTTTATCATTCTTCATATGTGAGTGACTTTTACCATGTACTTCTGAAGAAAAAATGTCAAATAAAGTTTTGAAATGCTTGAGGTGGATGTTTATTGTGATGTATTCTGTGAGTGAGACAATGTCTATGAGTGTTCATTGTATTCTACTAATTTTTTGACACAAGATAAAGTTTAAACTATTTTAAATAACACAAACATGACCGCGTTTTGACAGCCTTCTCTTTCAATTCTCAGCTGATATGAGTTCTAGGGTTTAATATTAGTTGTCGTTTTGGTGCAGCTGTCATTGTGAGGATTGCATATTTTCTGCCTGAAAACTGACGAGATTTCAAGTTGTGACATTTGTCTGTACAACAGTGAGCTTTTGAAGTGTTTTAAATCTGTATTTTTTGCATCAGCAGGTCAAACTGTGAGTTTATGGCACACACACCAAACTTACAAACTTTAGCACTTTGAATTGCCTTGTGTATGAATTGTGCTATATAAATAAACTTGCCTTGCCTTACAATAATTGTCAATAGTTAACAGTTATTTTGATGAGGTGAGATAGTTGGAGAAGTATCACTAGCAGGTGCTGATAATACATTAAACTCATAATCTCTAATAGTCGAGGTAACAGCAGCTGCTGACAACTTTGCACTGGGACGAATGGAAAACCCAGTGAGTGAGTATTTCCATGAAAATGCTTCAAAACGGCGAAGTTGTGTAGGTCAAAAATAAAAGTAGTTATCATACCCGCTTCTCAAATCCTAGACAAAAAACTGCCAATGCCTTTTTTGTAAGTTTACATTTGTTCCCCTTTTTTCTTTTCTTAACCATAAATATCATGTACTGTGACTACTACTATTATTATAACTCAGTCTCTTTAACTGGTCCGTCTGTTTTATGCCTCTGCACATGCCTTTGTTTTATTCAGAAATGAATGTCTTATCTGTTGTAATTTATGTAAATTATATTTGATGTATCATAGATAAGTTTAAAAAGGTGGTCACAAATGATTAAATAAATGTAATTTCCAAAAGTTATGAATCAGAGATCCATCTCCGAAGTAAAATCTCCCATACCAAATCCCTATAGGAATTTTGGGGGGAAAAATGTGATTACGACCACAGGATGATGGAGAAAAAACAACCACAAGAGGCTGTCTTTATCTTTATACAGTACATACTGAGAGCAGATTTTCTGATTGCTGGTCCGCCCCGAACACTTTCAGCCCCCGAACATCTTCAATATTTTATAAGAATAGTTTATTTTAAATCTCTCTGGGGATTTTGAATGGGGAATTTCACCACTGAATCAGGAAGATCCACTCACTTTGCAGCTCCACAGTCCTCTTTATAGAGATTTGTTTGCATATATTTCTACATGATCAGATATTGTTCTAAAGCATGGTCTTCCTCCTCAGCTGTGTGACGGGTACCTGTTCCAGTTGGATGAGTTCACCTGTGAGGCCTGCCCCACAGACATGCGTCCTCTGCCTAACCGCACGGCCTGCAGGCCTACTCCCATCATAAAGCTGGAGTGGCACTCGCCCTGGGCTCTCGTGCCCGCCTCACTATCTCTGCTCGGCATCCTGGTCACTATCGCCGTGGTGATCACCTTCATCCGCTTCAATGACACGCCCATCGTCCGAGCAGCTGGACGAGAGCTCAGCTACGTCCTGCTCACTGGTCAGTCCCCATATTTTATTTACTCACACAAAGTTTATTCTTTTTTGTTCAAGTAATTAAAACGTTTTAGGGGAAAAATTACTCTTTTACAAACCCATTCTTGAAGTTACTGCCAAGACTGAAATACTCTCAGTGGTACACTGCCACAAAAATCTGCACCGTGAGAAAAAAAATCCTCAAATGAATTCTCAAACTACTCAAGTAACGTGCAAGTGTTATGCATACCAAAATCATGGTGGTTTTAAGCACAAAACATAATTATGCTACAGCAGCTGCGCCTGTGTGAAAATCAAATGCCCGAAGTAAACATAATATGTGATTACATTTGCCAACTGTGCGTTCATAATATCTGTAAGATGGAAATTTTATTTAGAATTACGATAACAAAGTTTGAATAATAAAGGGGAGTTACGAGACCTTTGAAAACGCCCAAAGGCCTTGAGCCTTGAGCGGCTTCTCAAAGGGACTTTCTTTTTTCTTACGAAGCTCCGCCCACTTCGTTTTACTTTGCTTGCTGATGATCTATTATGGATCTGTTTTATGCAGGTTTTATAATTATTCAATTCACTTCCATTTTCAATTGCACAGAAAATATTTACATCTTTAAACCTCTATACTGAATAATGTTGCCCCCTGAAAATGAAAGAGTTTCTGTAGAACATATATCTATAGAGGCTTTAAATGACTCTGAAATGTCCTGAATTCCTTCCATGACTTTATTAAATCTCCTTGATGTCCTGTGTCCTCTTTGTGATGTCCAGTCTTCACATGTTCACCAGCACCAGCATAATGTTGAACAGGGCGGAATAATCTGAGAAACCATCCAAACCACACAGAGACAGACAGAGACGGATGCTCTGACCTTCTCCTGCAACTCTTTTATTACATTTTAAATGTAAAGCACATTCAGAGGCTTGTCTTTGTATGGCTCATGGGCGAGGAGGAGTTTACACATTGACAAGCTTCGCGCAGCATCCCGAATGATCCATGTCCTCCTCATGTTATTGTGGCGGAGTGGTTTGCCGATCTCCTGTCTTGTGGAGGTTGTGTTGGACCAGAGTTTTATAAAACACTGCACAAACTTGGACAGAGCAGTGTTACAGATGTATTCTCAGGATGTGAAGAGACTTTATTATAGACTTGTGGACACATCACATAAAACACAGAACACAAATAATCACAACAATAAGCCTCGCTCCTCTGAGGAAACAGCTGTACCAATGTCTCCACAGTTGAGACTGGTACCGTGTGGAACTGAATTTGACGTTTATCAGGGCTATGATTATAATGTTCTGACTTTCAATGAGCCGACAGATAAAACTGTACATCAGACATTGCAAGGCTGCCTGAAATGTCCTTATTCCTGCAAATACAGAGTGCTTGCTCTTTCCCATCTTGGCCTTATCCATAAAATCCTCAAGCAGTTGTTGTCTACCACATTGACTTATGGACAGTTGCTTTGTTGCATTTCGTCCATAAGTGTGCTGTGTATAAAGACTCATTTTCACCTCTGCTGTACAGGCACTAAACCTGTGCATGTTCACCTGAGCATACATCATTGTCCTCATCATCAGGCTCGTTATCACACATAAAATGACTTAGATTTTTAGATTTTGTACATACAGTAAGCTCAACGCCACATATTTTGAATTAAAGATGGTTTACATTTGCATCATCTTTTGTTCCACATAACATTATCATACTTTTGCTTTCATGATACCCCAAATCAACATTTAAACCATACTTAGAGCAGACATTGAGAAGGTTCTGTGGACATGCACTACTTGACCTGAATACAGCAGGTCAAATAGTGCATAGATCAGGTCATTCAATGGAATTGGCTCCAATCATACTGTTTTACATCTATTTAACTCTATGGACAGATCATTAATGTCCAGGGAGGGTAAAACAGGAGACAGAATTCCCCCTGATGGACACTTTTACTGACTGAGAATACTCATATATGCATTTGAAGAAAATTAATGGGGAAAAATGTAGATACATCTTAACGTTTCAACGACTTGTACCGCAACTAGTGCAGAGAGGTGAGAAAATACACCGCTAAGTTTTTTATCTGCCCAAATCTGTTTGCCAATGTTGAAGTAAGAGGACTCTCTAATTTTATCTAGGTTTACTGAGGACAATCACAAAAGATAGTGAGGTCTGGGGTTATGTCTCAGCAGAAGAGGTTTTTTAAGACATGGTTTAATGTTGGTACACAATATAATGGGCACGTCCAGAGTGTCACAGTGCTTGTATGATTTTATAACCAGGTAAAACAAGGACGCTCCTCTCAGCATCTACCATGGCTCCAATAGATACGTCTGCGCGGACCTTCAGATGACCAATACATAAACAAAAATCACAAAAAGTCTCCCTTTTGGTCATACAACAGTGTAAATTCTTCTTTCATGTCTCACTATGTTTGCAGGGATCTTCCTGATTTACCTCATCACGTTCTTTATGATTGCGGAGCCCGGCGTGGTGGTGTGTGCGTTCCGAAGACTTTTCTTGGGGTTGGGAATGGCCATCACTTACTCCGCCATGTTAACCAAAACCAACCGCATCTACCGCATCTTTGAGCAGGGAAAGAGATCTGTGACTCCGCCCAAATTCATCAGCCCCTATTCCCAGCTGGCCATCACCTTCATACTCATATCAGTGCAGGTGAGACATGTTAGAAGAGTCCCAAATACAGCTGCAGTATCCTCTGCAGCTGTATTTGACAGTGTATGCATGACTTTTGACAGCTGCAGCAGCACTCAGATCTAAAACAAACAGGTTTGATAGCTCCGCAATTGCAATGAAGTATTTGTGAGATCAGGTGGTAAGAAAAGTGTATGAAGTGTGTGGTGAGGGGTTTTATCACACACTTCATAAAACTATAATGTTTTTTTGTTTGCCAATGTTCTTTCTGTGCCTGTTAAGCACCCTGGGTAGCTTCTGTATGAATGGTGCTTTATAAATAAATTTGCCTTGCCTTGCCTAGCTGCTACTTTTTGCTTATTGTGGGGTATTTGGAAACTAGCTACGGTTGGAAAAGAGCTGCATAGATAATACTGACATTCAAAGAAATATTGATTAATGTGTACTGTCCCTAATCAATTTCGACTTACATTCAGAATAACTAATAATAAACGTGGGTCAAACAGTATCTGCTCCCAACTAAGACTAAACATCCATCCATCCATCCATTTTCTACCCTTTAATCCATTTCTGGGTCAGGGGGGTGGCAGTCAGAGATGCCACCCAAGTCTCATAGCACCAGCCCCTCACTGACCCTCTGCAGGGGGTGAGTCCACAGGAGGACGGCTGCTCTCTGAGTGCGAGCATAGCCTTGATCTTTCAGTGGGGGCTTTTGGGCAAAGACTAAACAGTGGTCAGATATTCAAAACAAACCCTCATTGAGTGAGACACTTACAGACAAAACCAAGAACATCTGCACATCATGCTTCAGCATCAGTGCTTTTCTCCATAATACATACATTCTTTGCAAATTGGGAATATTTCCACTGTATATAGTAATATTGTCTGATCTGTGATTGTGTTGTTCATCTAGGTGGTGGGCGTGTTTGTGTGGTTCGCTGTGGTTCCTCCTCACACCATCATCGACTACGAAGAGCTCCGCCCCCCGAACCCTGACCTCGCCCGCGGCATCCTCAAGTGTGACATGTCTGACCTGTCAATCATTTGCTGCCTGAGCTACAGCATCATACTTATGGTATTCATTCTTACGTCCAGAAACACAGACGCTCAGTAGCCTCAGGGTTTGTGAGGTTGGCTCAGTTTATTGTAGTGTCTCTTTAGTGATATAACATTGATACAACAGTGTTCTTTAATGACCTACACTAGGACTGAAGAACCGCCACTGCTATGGCCACTTTATTGTATACAATACATAATTATATCCTGCACAGAATATATTTTTAACCTTAACATGTTGCACACTTCTGTCTTTTTGCACAATCTGAGTAATTCTATCTGTGCCAAATGTGACATATACATTTCTCCATTGTGAGATCAATAAAGTTTATCTTATCTTTATTAAGTGTTGTTATGGACTATTTCTAGACTGTGAATAACAACGACAAACAGAAAAGAAGCAAATGCAGTTATAAACACAAAACAATTATTCTTTTAAGATTTTTGTGTGAAGGGTATCTCTTTTTCATGTCCTGTAGGTCATATGCACAGTTTATGCCGTTAAGAGCCGGGGCGTCCCAGAGACCTTCAACGAGGCCAAACCCATCGGCTTCACCATGTACACCACCTGCATCGTGTGGCTCGCATTCGTGCCAATATTCTTTGGTACCGCTCAGTCCACAGAGAAGGCAAGTAGTCTAATGTATTACATGGTAGCTGTCTCACTACATTTATCTGTTTGATCTTCCTCACGATGTGTCGGTTTTAGCAAAAAAACTGCTCAGTTATGCACAATCCCTCCATGATGGTGCTGTCAAGCAATTTAAATATTTAATCACAATGTATTGCATTAATAATTCATTAACTCACAATTCATTTTCTATTTGAATATATTCTAAATGTCCCTTTGGTTGGGCTGTGACCTGAAGATAGTCTGCCTGGTTTTTTCTCGAACGCCTGCTTTATCTTAAGTTCTTCTTTACGGCGAAAATATGACACAGGTGCAGCGCAGTGACGTGGTTTTCAGTCAAAAACACATTGGAAACATGCTTGTGTTAATGGTCTTTGACACTAGATCAGCTCAACATGTTCATAACACTTGGAGTGGTTAACACTCTCGCTTCTAAGCTAGAAGGTCCTGGGTTCGAATCCTGGTCAAAACAGGGTCTTTGTGAGTGGAGTTTGCGTTAGGGTTAGCGTTCTTTGCTATGCACAATTGGTGAAAACCTCCAGCTGCAGTAGTCCTGACCAAGCCGAGCATCAACATCCGGTTCCCGTGTGCTTTACTCAGTGGGGGCGGGTCCCAGCTCAGAAGTGGCCAAAATGACGTGCGCTGACATGCTTGCAATACCACCCCGGGCCGATGGGGGTGGACCCAGAAGAAGAATTAGCCAATGCTAACATATAGCATTGGCAGACCTCTCGAAAACGTCTTTACAGGATGGACTCTTGGCCCAAAGCTCCGTTCCACATGTGTGTCAATGCTGAGGGGGGTAAATTTTTTTGGAACACTCTAGTTTACTTGCTGTGAATTTTTGAAGTCTCTCGTTCAACTGAAATGAGCTTGCACCAGCTGACACATGCGCAGATGCGTTTTTTCACAATTTTCTTGTGGGCGGGACCACTCGCGGCCATTTTGGATAGCTCCAGTAGAGCACATTTTTTGGCCCATTAGTTAGAACGGCGGAGATAGGCGTGACTGTCCGTTTATATATATAGTCTAACAGACTGACAGAGACTAATGACCACACACCCCGAGCCGGTGGGGATGGACCCTGGATCTATAATAATAACTGGATAGGGTATTACTAGCTTACAGCTGTCCCACCCACGGACACAGGGGGCGCCCGTGGTACTGCAAACTAAATTCACGAGGGCTACCCAGAAAAAAGTCCCATAGAAATCAACGTAAATTAAAACAGCTCGACCTCAGCTGACAGAGAACCTACAGCTTTCAGAAATATCGGATTTTGTGGGGATTTTTGTGTCCATTGTCCTTCTGAACTTTTTTTCTTCTTAAATCCTTCCATTTTCTTTAAATCCACACTTTACTGCCACAAACTCTGCTCCTTTCCTTCCCGCTCTGACCCCTCTCTGCTGCTGCTCTGATCAGCAGTGCTGATTGGTCAAAGCGCAGCTGAGTCCCTCTGTGCGCATGCCTGACAGCCACACACGCCTATTTGGCGCAACCCATCATGGGAGCTCGCCTACTGCGCAGAACCGGGAGGACCAGACAATGCCCAAATATAGGCGAGTTTTGCTAATCTCCCGGACTCCGTGAAGTCCCATGCGCTACTGAGCACAAGCCATTCATTTGAATAGGGCGCCATCTAGGATCACCGGGGCTTGGGATGGACCCAGAAAGATGATTATCCAATACTTTTGACGTCTTCTTACATCTCGAAAACAGCTTTTTGTTACGGTACAAAAGTCGGCTCTTGGCTAATGCTGAGGGGAGTATATTTTTTTGGACCATTCTAGTTTAGCCTCTGTGGACTTCAGAAGGGACTCGATAAATGAATGGGGCTGGTGCCGGCTATCGCATTCGTAAATGCGTTTTTTTTACATTTTCCTGAGGAGGGGTTGCCTGCAGCCATTTTGAAAAGCCCCATAGAAGCCAAAAGTGATGGCACATTAGTCATCTGCCCCTTATGGACCAATGGCTCTCTATGTTTTCTATCATTGCAATTCTTGTGTTTGAACAGTTCTGTTCTGATCTGTGTTGGTGAATCAATGATTTTGTAAAGTCCTCCAAGTGTCCTACTGTGGTAACTTAGGGCTGTACAATGATAAAATGAATTGAATATTCCAATGTGGTTTGACTGCAAACTGAAACTGAAACTGATTCTGAATCTGCTCAGTTACGCCTCTGAAGCTTCAAAATACAGCATTTGTTCCTTTGCCTATTCTTAAACTTAAAGATGGATTTTAAGTCTGTTCTGTCATTGACCCATTTCTGATTAAACACAAGTGTAATAATATGCTCCAGGTGAGGCTCGAACTCACAACCTCGGCATCACTCTGCAGGTCACTGTCTTATAAGTACCGCGCGCTGACCGATTGCGCCACTGGAGCTTGATTCTCAATTGTGAAAAGGATGGAGAATCGAAAAGCGTGAGAGCTGATGCTTAACCCAAGTCAACATAAGATTTCTTATTCGGCCCCGTTCAAACTGTGGGACAGTCCATGTTCTTGGCGGAGGAAAGTGCTCTACCGGTGTTTTCCTCTTTTCAAAGTTGGATGGTGCTGAGAATCTTTTCTTTACAAACTCTTAGTTTTTCTTTGATTATTCTTTCACTAAGAAGAGTCATTTTTGAAGCATATAAGACTTATTTCATATAGACCTAAATCTTGTTTATTAAGAACATTGCTTCAAACGTTAGTTTTCAACAAAAGCGTCTCTCAAACACCATAAAACAATGGTCACTGTGAAATCGATCGACTAAAACAGCTCCAATACAAGTGCAAGAACATTAAAATGCTCTGTTCTAACTGAAAACAGCTTGTGGGAAGAAGCTTTTAGCAAATCGAGATGTTTTACATCTCAGCGAACATTATCTTCTGCCAGAGGGAAGAAGCTGGAACATGACTTTTCCAGGGTGGCCAGAAGAGTTGTTAGTATTAGATAGCAATATGGCCTACGTGCAGGACTGTACAAGGACTCTGATTATTTTGACTCTGATGTGACTGTCTCTGTGTGACACGTACGTCTTTCCATGTGTGACGTGACAATGACTATATAAACTGTGTACTGCCTTTATTCTGTCTGAGAGAAGGAAGCAAGGGAAACCATTGGAACTTGAGAGAAACTTAAATAAACTTCCAGAGTTTGGCGCACCACGATCCGTCTCTGTCTGCTTCATCCCTGACAGATTTGGTGGAGGATGTGCGGCTCAGTGTGTGCCATTCTCTGGATTGTTTTGAGGGAGTTTCTGAGGAGAGCTGAGAGTATCTGGGGCCTGGGAGCGGTCCAGCAGGCTGGAGAGGCGACCGGCTCCGGGACTCTTTTTCGCTCTCTCACTATATTTTTTTTTGTTTCCTGTTTTTTGGACTGACTAAGCATTTAAAATTGTTTTCCCACGTCCACATTCCGGGGATTTCTGACGTGTGATTGGTCTCTGCCGATGGAAACTAGTTCCCGGTACTAGTGAGCGCTGGTTCATGATCTGGAGACCGCGGTTGGACGTGGAAAAGCTGATATTTGGCAGACCTCTCGGACAGTCCTTGGTACCTGTTTGACAAGAATAAGGTAAGCAGACACCTTTTTATATGTAAAGTCTGTATAATTGGATACTAGCTAAATTTTGGTCTGTTTTTGGGGTCTGTCAAACTCTCTAAATTGTATTTGAAAAAGTCTCGGGGTTAGAGTCCCTTTGAGAAGAAGTCTCGGGGTTAGAGTCCCTTTGAGAAGAAGCTTCAGGGTTAGAGTCCCTTTGAGAAAAGATAGAGAAGAAGGATCCTAAGTGAAACCATGGTGTAATAATAAAAGCAATAAAAAGGGAAATGTGTTAAAGAGGCCTTTGTTACAAAAGCTTTGAAATTGACGAATTTCAGGCTGATAAATGACAAAAGTAAAGAAGCAACAATATTTCAGTGATCACGGTTTAAATTACATACAGAAAAAGGGAGTTTTTGTTTTCGGCGTGAACAGAGTTCACCGGAGAATGCCGAGTTTTATCTAAAGTTGAGCTATGAGAGCTTTTGTGAGTTATTTACATTTTTTGCCGAGTTTTATCTACAGTTGAGCTTTTAGCTTGCGTGAGTTATTTAAATTTTTTGTCGCGGCTCGGGTTGTATCCAACAGTTGTTTTTTTGTTTTTTAGAAAGAGATTTTGAGTTTAAATTAGTTTGCTACCTCGATAAAATAGAAGCGTAAGGGAAATTAAACACTAAGAGTGCCTTTTGTTACAAGTGTTGAAATTGGCCATTTCTAGACTTGGATGACAAAAGTATAAACTACAAGTTATATTCGCTTAACAAAGTAATCTTGAAAGTTCTTCTTCTTTCTGTTTTTGCATTTTTGCTAAAACACTACTTTCTGCCTGTGTGTGTGCACGTCTGTGTGACGGGAACCCCCCCGCCCTCGCTGCGCTGCTGCTCTGATTTAAAGGAGAGCTACTGCTTTTATGATTTTGGTTTTTCATAGTTGTTATTCAGTTAAATTTGCGAAATTTGCGATGGAACATTGTGTTATGACACAGTTAAACGTTTTTAAACACCATTAGGGAATAGAAGTTTTGAATTAGTATGTTTTTGAAACCTAAATATTAGTGCTAAAGCTTTGCTTTTCTTTTTAAATCTGCTGCTTATTTTTTGAGTCCATTATTGTTTCTCTGATATATTTCATAGCTGTTTGTGAGAATTTTTTCATGTATTTTTTATTTTAGTTACAAAAGCCGTTTTTCAAACATTTAAATTAGAATCTGTGTAAAAAGTGATTATTGATTATAGACTTTGTCTAAAAAGAAAGAGGGAATTAGGATTAGCTGTAAAAGTATCATATTATTGAGTTAAACTCTACCCAATTCACCCAATTCACATTGCAAGCAGTGACTTTTTTGTTTTGACTATGCACCTGACCTTGCTGCTGCTGATGCACACAGCAGAGGAGACTGCTATGAAATGTGCTCCAATTCATATTGACTTCATTTGAAAAGGCTGCAATTATTTTAAATTAGTAAAATATATG